AAGTACTTTATAACCCGCTAGTACCTTTTAGAATAGTAAGCCCGCTAAGCGGAGTATCTCTTACGCTTTAACTTCTCGATTAAGTACTAGCTAGGGCGAGACTCTATAGTCCTAGATACGCTTTCCTAGAGGGATTAAGACCGGCTAATAAGAGCGGATATTAAGGCCCGGGATCTATAGCTTATCCTATAAGAAGCGCTATAGACTTATATAAGAGCTTCTTTAGTAAAGGAAAGCGCGGCGCTAATAAATAAGCCTTCCCTTATACTTTTACCTTAGCTTAGCGAGGAGGGATAGACCGGCCTAAGAGCGTATATAGCGCGGGTGTTTTAAGATAAGGTCCTCTAACGCTTATAGGATAGGATATCGTCTCTAAACTATACCTATAAGAGCATACGCCGCGCTATTAAGTCTAGCGCTCGACGCTTTAATCTAAAGCTAAAGCTAAAGGTATAAGTAGCCGACTATTATATCGACCTATAGGGGCACCTACGTTAGCGGGGGAGACTATAGGTGCTAGGCGCGCTATATACTATAGAAGCTAGGAAGAAGGATAGACCGCCGGAGCTAGATAAATAGAATAAGCTTTAAGGAAAGGTAGTTTAGCTCGTTTATAACTCTAGTATTATAGGCTACCTAGGTAGGCAGGGTATAGTAGTAGGCCTTACGAGGGATTTCTACTAGCCCCTCTTATAGTACTACGTTCGCCGCTTCCTTTATAACTACGATATCTATAGCTATACTAAGATTTAGAAGGTATAGCTTAAGGGGCTACTTAAGTAGCTTCTAGTACCTAACCGGTTCTATATATATATATATAAATAGACTTTATAACGGACCTCTTACTTATAGAGGGCGGTAACTACTATATATAGGTAATTAAGGACTAACTTAGTAAGTTTATAGTATTAAAGCTAATACTATCTATAGATATAGAGTCTTATATAAAGCGCTTCCTATAGTACTAAGCCTGCTTATATAGCTAGCTAGCCTTTATTATAAGTAATAAGGGATTAAATTAAACTAGCTACTTTTAGTAGTACTTATACTAGCTACTTTAGATTATATAGCTACTTAGTATAGTATATTACTTATAGACTAACGGAGGGCCTAAGAAGGTTAACTAGGAGGCGTAGGCTTACTTATAGGCTATCGTAGCCTATAATTAAGTAAACTAAGACCGTTAGCTCCTTATAGCTTAACTTATATTAAATAATAAACTATATACCTCTATTAAGATAGCCCTTTTCTTTATAATATATAGCTTTAAACTACCCTTACTAGTTCCCTTTACTATAGATATAGTAGTAAAGTAGTATAGTAATTTATTATTAAAGGGCCGCGCCTTTATATTTATATAAAAGCTATAAGAGACTATAGATTATTACTAATCTATAATAGCCGCCGCGGTATAAGATTAAGAGCAGCACGCTAATAAGACTAAGGCCCTAGTAGATAGGTTTATAGTAAGAGATAAGGTATAGCTAGACCTCTATAACTATAAGTTAGTACGGCTAAAGAAGAAGCTTAACTAGCTATACGCGAAGTTTATAGTATAAAGGGTTATTAGCCTATAGGTTATAAAGCTCGATAGTCTCTTAATAAGGGTCTATAATAAGATTAATATAGACCTCCTTTATAGAGCCTCCTTTAACCTACTACTTAGATAAGAAGTAGTAGACGCTTAACCGCTTATAATTAAGGTAAAAAGAGAGGATAAGTTTAAGGTTAAAGAGATATAGGCTATATATTAGAAAAAGGTCGGTAAAGGGAAATACTAAGAGGTCCTTATTAAGTAATATAGGTATCTTAACCCTATATAGGAACCTATATATAAGTTTATAAAAACTATAGCCCTTAATAAGTTTAAAGCCTTATTTAAAATAGTAAATAAGAATAATAAACTAATAGATTACTAATAATAGCCTAGGCTAAGACTATAAAGTAAGTAAAGTAAAGTAAGTAGTTATAATAATATAAGCGTAATAATATAAGTAAAGATAAAAATAGCGTTTATTTTAAGGTAAAGCCTTTAAACTACTTAGACCTACTCCTTATCCTTATTATTATCCTTATCCTTATCCTTATTATCCTCCTCTACCTTATTAGCGGCGGCGGCGCTCTCTAAGGCGCTTAAGCGGCCCTCTAAGCCCGCGAGCTAGTCGGCGGTAGCGGTAGCTCTAGGGGCTCCGGGAGCGGGGAGGGCCCGGCTAGTAGCAGCGGTAGGGGCGGCGGCGGGCACGGCTAAGGGGACCGCCGATAGGGCGACGGAGGTAGTATTCTTAGTACTAGGAGAGTTAGTAGCGGAAGTAAAAGAGCTAAAAGAGAGGAACTTACTTAAGGACGAGGCCCTAGCGCTCGAGGGCGTAGAGATTATAGTAAGCGGCGGCGGCGGCGGTAAGGCGCTTCTTAGTAGCCCCCCGTACCTACCTATACGCGCTAGCCTTTTAAGCTAACGCCGTAGCGGGTAGGATAGGAGGCGCCGCTTTATAGGCGCGGCCGGCACGCGTATACTAGTAATAACTACCGCTATAGCGGCGCCCGACTTAGTCGGCGTAGGGGAGCTCCTATAACGCGCACCGTATATAAGGGGCCGCGCGGGCGGCTCCGGCCTATACTTAGCGTTTATACTTTAAGAAGTTAGCGGAAAATAGCTACTACGCTCGCTAGGTAGCGGACTTATAGGGGTAGTAGAGGTAGAGGCGGGGGTAGAGGGGCCGGGCGTTATAGCTAGTAGCGGGGACGGCGTTATTATATAGAAGGGCGACGTAAGGGCGGCTAGCGTAGTAAAGGTAGAGGCGGCGGCGGTAGGCGCGGTCGCGGGGGCGCGGGTAAGAGCAGCGGTAGTAGTAGAGCTATTATCGGCCGTGCTTAGTATAGCGTCGACGAACGACTCTATACGCTCTAAGAAGGAGGAAGCGGGGGAAGGGGAGGTAGATATATCTATCGCGGAAGTTAGTATTACGGATTATAGCCTCTTACTTTATAAGGTAGAGAACTTATTAATTAAAGTTATTATTATTAGGGCTATTATTACTACTATAGCTACTACTATAAATATACGTTAATAAAGCGGCCTATATAGCTAAGAATAAACTAACGCTTTAAGTAAAGTAGAACTTACTTATTACTACTACTACTATAGTTAAAGAAGGAGGAGAAGGAAAGGATAAAGAAAGGGGGGGATACTGCCTTATATACCCCTAGGTAAAGGAGGCTGCTTAAGGCTAAGGGGATAAGTAACCTAAGGCTTACGTAGGTCTAGGCCGGCCGCCGGCTACCTAGGGGCGTATATAATAGGTCGCGCCCCTATTTAAACGGCTAGCTAGCTAATAAGTATAGAGCCCGGTTTTAGCTACCTAGGCTAATAGGCGTAGGGATAATAGGGCTAGTAGGGCCTATATAATTAACGGGAAAGGGTAGGGTAGAGCTAGCGGTATAGGCCTAATAGTATAGAAGCTATTAATTAAGTAACGCTATACCGCGCTTAAGGGAGGGCATTATATAAGAGTCTTTAACTATTATAGGTTATAGGCTTAAGCTATAGCCTAAGCTATATAGTTACGTATAGAAGGCCGGATCCTATATATATATATATAGGCTAGCCGCGTATAAGAGAGCTCTATATAGCTTATTAATATTATCTTATAGACGGCACTTATACTTATACCTTTACTTACTCTATAATATCTTTAGCTAGAATATAAATACTAGTAGAAAAACTAGCGGTAAAGGTAAGGGGAAATTAGTTAAGCTAATAAGTTTTATTAAGCGTAAATAAAGATTTAAGCTAGGTAGTAAGTCTTATTTATCTTTTCTTACTTAAACGTAATAAGACTTAAGTATATTTCTTTCTTAGATTATCTATTAATTTTAATATTAGCTATTACTTTACGCCAAATTCGAAAATTCTAGTAAATTCCTAATTTACTTATCCCTTACGCTTTATTCGCCCGCTTTATTTAAGAGGTTATATAAGATATTACTCCTAGCCTTTATATCTAAAAGGTAGTATTAGTAGCTATCTAGGAGTCGGTAGAGAGTATACTAGCTACTATATTCTAAGGTAAGTTAATATAATTATTATACTAACTATTATACTAACTAGCGACTATAAATAGTAATAAGATAGCTAGCTATTATAGCTAAAAGAGTTATAATTTAGTAGAAAGATATTACTACTTTTAAGGATATTATTAATATCCTTAGGAAATAAGACTAGTCTTTTTTAGTCTAAAATAAAGCTAGTATATATACCTTATTAAAAGTTATTATATTAATTATTTATACTAACCTTTTTCCTTTAGCGGATAGTTCTACCTCTTAGCGTAACTTTTCCGATTTATTAAGAGCCTAAAAATAAAAGCTTCTATAAAGCATATAACTAGTAAAGATTAAAGAAGCGCATACTTATAAAGTTTAGGCTTAAAGAGATAATTTTAATAAGAAGCGGAAGTAGTTAAAGGAGTAACGATAATTAAAGGTATAGTAAAAGAAGAAAACTACTATTATAGAGATTAATAGTAAGAGGAGTAAAAATAAAGATAATTCCGACTATAAATAGCCCTAAATAATTAAAAAGACCTATAAAGTCCCCCTAGATAATAAGGCTAATAAGGATAAAATATTTAAAGAATTACTATAATCGTTAGGCATAGAAGAGCCTATAATAACTATAGATAGGCTTAAGCTTATCCTAGCCGGCGGGAAGTATAAGGGTAGAAAGTTAGGAGTAAAAGAGGCTAAAAATATCCTAGCTCTAAGTTAGAGATAAGGAGATAATTAGTATAATTAATTAGTACTAGACTTCTAGTTCTCTAATCTCTATAAATTCGCTTAACTAAAAGTAACTTCGAATAAGAATCTACTAAGTTATTTTAGGCTAGTCTAGGTACCTAGCTTTACCTAAAGTATATATTAATAACCCGTAGGTAAATATAGTCTTTTATCTTAAAACCTATTTCTACCTATAGACTAGACTAAAAAAAATTAGGCGGCCCATGGGTAGCCACGGGCGCCTACTTTTGAAGTCTACCACCGACAGGGTCGGAGCGGGCATCAAGGAATGGGGCCAGGAGGCCGTCGTCCGGCTGCCGGTCGAGGCCGGCGCCGATAGGGAGGTTCTGGACTACACCTTGTCGACGCCGCTGTGCCGGGCCGCCGACAATGGACACTATCCCGCCGTCCGGCTGCTGGTGATGGCCGGCGCCAACAAGGAGGCCTCGACCATCGGGGGGAAGACGCCGCTGTTCCTCACCACGGCCAAGGACCACTGGCGTATCTCGAGCATGCTGATCGAGGCTGGGCTGATAGGGAAGAGGAGTTGGGCTTCTTGGGAATGTCGCTGCCCATAGTACATGCCAGGGGATAGAAAGCCAACCAGGTCGAAGACTACGCCGACTCTCGAGTTGAACAATAGGCCGGCCGGATTAAGTAGACTCAATCCATATAAGACAGGCATGTATAGAGGCTGGGAAGAATTACAATTGTACCATATAACCGGAACAGCTGCTGAACCGACGACATTCCCCGCACGTTGAAAGACCCTGGTTCTTGAAACCCCCCTCGGCGCGGGTCACAGCCGGTCAGAGAGCCACGACGAGATGCTCCGCGTGTTGCATGATATAGACGGCACTCGACAGTCTAGTTCAAAAGCTTCGCGAAATGTTCACCCAAGATATGTAAATGACGAGGCCCCCGGCATCCCTGCAGGCAACAAGGCCGAGGGGATCTTCCAGGATAAGAGCGGGCAGGGGAGCTGGTTAGAAGCCGCCGTAGAGACAACAAGGATGCCGACTACCGAGATGAAGGCAGTCAGCTAGAAGCCCCCAAAGCAGATCCATGGATTGACGATAGGGCAGCATTGAACCAGCCAGGAGTAATTGGTTCGAGGAGACCCTCTTTCGCCTAACCAACGTATTAGTGTTAGATTGGTTGCCTTGTGTCCAGCCAACTGGCACTTTAAGCGTAATTTAATAACATGAAAGCTGCAACACTAGGTATCAATAAAGCATCGTCGCTATTCCAGTTGGGATATCCTCCGTCTCTGAGCGGATTGTTCTCTCAACAACCCCTCCCCCTCCCCCCTTTCTTAGAATGTAAAGGCCGCTCATCCTCGACAAGAAGACGGTTGTACCCGAGCATCCGTTAACGCTGGGGTTTGAATTCCCGTCCTCCACCAGCCACGCCAGCCGATCCCTCGACACACTTGCCGCCGCCCCAGATGGCCTCCTTGGCGGCGGTCCAGCTTGTTTTCGGATCCATGATGTTTTCCCGGGTGTAGAACAAGCGGCAGGAGGCTGCTTGGAACTCAAACTGCAGGGGCCTGTCTTCCTCGCCCTGCAGGTAGGTGCTCTCAAAGTTGACTCGGCCTCCGACCTTGAACGGCAAGCCTGGCAGCGGCGGCGGCATCCTCTTGTCAGCAAGGTCCAGCTCCTCGGGAGACAGCGGCGGGGGCTTTCCGGCAAGCAGCTTCTCGTCGCTCAAGATTTGCTGTGACACGTTGACGAGGTCTGAAATGACATCGAACGGCATGACCTGGCCGCCGCGGACGCCGCCCATGATCTGCATGGGCCCGTTCTGGGGGCGGCCGCCGAAAGCCAGCGTTTTGACGCCGCCGACGTTGGCCATGATGTTGACGAAGCCGGCGCAGGATGAGTGGCAGAAGCCGTTGCCCACTACCAGGATATCCTCTGGCTTGAACGGCGCCGTGTCAAACGTTGTGCTCGGGGGAACGAAGCCTTCCAGGGGATCCTGCTCGGTCGACGCGAGAGTGAAGTTCAATGTGTAGACGGCTGAAACCTCGACCCCGAGCTGCGGCCGCTCGTCTCCCAGAATGTCAGATGCCGTCTGGAAGCCGTGCACCTGGTCGGGGGCCACCATGGCTGGGAATGCCAGGCCTGTTTGAAGACTGGCCGCGTCGGTGCGGTTGAGGGCTCCAAAGACCTTGGTCAGGATATCCGTTGCCGGGCTCCGCCGAAACCGAAGAGCGTCAAAGGGAAACTGGCCGGGAAACAAGACCTTGAATATGTTGAGGAACCGGATCGGCGACCCGCCCCCGTTGCCCGACACATCCAGGATGAGCTTGTTGCGGCCCGAGGCCTTGGCCTTGGCGATAATGTCCTTGGCCACGTTGGCATAGGTGAGCGAGTAGTCTTCAGGCTTCTCGGACCCGCCAAACGAAGAAATGACCATGACGGCCGTCTCGTTGTCCAGAAAGTATCCGCTGACCTCGTTGTGCGGATCGCGGGCAATGGGCTCCGGGTACCCTGGGATTCCACTGTCAAAGGGTCCATCGGGTGGCGGCGGAGGAGAGGGAGGGCCCGGCGGCGGCGGACGGCAGTAGGTGGCAAGGACCTCGTCTGCCGAAGAGCCGTTGAAAGCATCCTTGCCAAAGGGCCCTGCCAGTGTTTCGATGTCGACGGATGAGCCGTTGGTGAACCTGACGGTCGTCTTGCCGGCCCCCGGCCAGGCCCCGTCGTTCTCGATGAAGGATCCGGCCGGATGTATTGTCTGGGCAGCAAGCCACGACGGCGAGCGGAACAGCTCGTTCCACCGCGAGTCCGGGTCCTGGCTTGAAGACATGCGGGCAAGGTCCTGCAGATACTCGAGAGCATCTCGTCCGTTTATCTCTGCAATCGGCGAGATGCTTGCCTTGCCTTTCTGGGACGCTTCGATATCGGAAAAGGCAAACAGCTCGGGCGGTGCCAGACCATCCTCGGACACAGACACAATGCCATCATGATCCCGCTGGAACCTGAAAATATCCGAGGTGCAAGGCGTGATGCCGAAGTGGCCGTCGTGGGCCGAGGTGAAGAGCGCCTTGAGGTCGACGTTGAAATCATACAGACTTTCGTAGTTGTTGCCGCCAATCTGCTCCAAGCCCCCAAAGATGTCGACGGGCTCGGAAGCGTACGAGTCGGGGGGGTCCCGCAGAGCCTCGATCGTGGACTGGAACTCAACATACTTCTGCAGCCCGCTCAAGAACGCCCTGGCGCCGAGGAAGTCAAAGGGAAGCGACCTGAGGCAGTCGTGCGCAGCTTGGCCGGGGATCAGGGCCTGTGGTTTCGGCAATGTTGCGTTTGTCGGCGAAGATGAGTTTGGCGGTGGTGATGGCTGTTTGTTCTGGGGAGCGCTCCTGAGTTGATCGCGAACAGAGCCGCAGGCATCGGCTCGTTTGCTGTGCGGCTTGGGGATGGTCCCGGCCGAAACCAACAGCGAAACCCGGGATAGCATCACGAGCAGCCGCATGATGATTTGCTTTTATGCTTATAGTTGAAGGTTTATACTTTGTCTCCTTCTCCTTCCTGCTACACCAACGGCGGTGCCCGATTTAAAGGTAACGAAAGCTCTATCCATCACTTCTAGCAAGTACGTCACCAGCCTAGCTTTGGTCAAGGTTGGCATTGACTAGTTTGCGAGAGCGTGTGAAGAAGCTTACGTGCATGAAGAGCTGCGTTTGAGAAAGGCAGAGGCCGGTCTCCATGCCATGACTCGTCAGGCCTGGAGACCAGACTGCATTACGTTCCGTACCGGCCTTTGCTAGTCTCTTGCTACTCCCTAGAGTCGATCACAAGGCTTAAAAGTCCACTCCCGGAGTCTGGCGGGTTTCAAGTGTCGAATGGTATGAAAGTAGCCGTGAGGGGAACGGCTCGACATCCTTTGGCCTTGTTCAAGGGTTGTCACGATGCTTCAAGCCGAGTCCTTGGACGAGTTGGCCAGGTAAAATAAAGCCTTGCTATCAGCTGTCTTTTCTATGTCATGCGGACCCCGAGTCCGCTGTGCCTGCCCGGTTCTGCCGTGCCTTGATAGCGACGGGCCATCAACTCCTGCGCCGTATAACCTGCCTCTGGGGTCTTTTTGAATTCGATTGTCAGCAGAGGACGGCGGCGACATTAACCGGAGAGCCTGGAACGCACAGATGAAGCCGGGGCTGGAAGACCTGCAGCCCGTGTCCACACTTTGTGCTAGGACCTGAAACGTCTAGAATCGGACCTCGAACAATTCGAACCGGAGAGTCGACGGGATTACCCAGCGCCGAACCTGGCGACCCTCTGGCATTGGCTTCCGATTACAACTTACAAAGCTTGCTACCCGGAAACTTGAACCAGGTCGGTAGCCAGGGAACCATGGGCATGAAAGGCTGAGAGCCTTAGGAGCTTTCAGTAGTATGGGGTTGGCGGTTTCAGCCCGATCCATACGTCGTCACCCGGCTCCCGCAACTTCCTTGGATAGGTTGGCATCTGACCAAGCATGACCCCTGCAGCGCCCACATCGGATGGTGCCAGGCTGACGGCACGCGATGTCCGATGCGGTAGCGGAGAGACCTAGCCGGGCCCGCTCCAAGTCATGCAGCACCGGCCCGCACGAAGTTTGCACTCTCGAGTTCCCCGTATGGTGGTTCCAGTCCACTCTCAATATTCCTGAGCTTGACCTTGCCGCGATTCCCCTTGTGACCAACGCTTCAAGGCTGAGCCTGAGGCAGAGCACAGCCTGGTTCCCACACCTCGTCACCTCGCGCATCTCATGCCGGCTAGATCGGCCGAGTTCGATCTGAGAGGCAACCCATCGTGTGAAGCTGGAGAGCAACAGAAAACGTGACATGCAGGGCCAGGCCTAGGCATCGGGCGTGCCAGCCAGAGTATCCCGTAGGACGTGGGCTTCGACATGTCGTGGCCGGACAGCCCGGGATCATGCCCGCGCCAGCACAAAGGCTTGGGGCCGTCGCATCAGATTTTTAAGAAAGAGAGAAAGGTCAGAAGAGAGGCATCACGGCACTTCTGGGCCTGTTATCGTGGGTTCGTGGTGCTGCTGCGGACTGGTTGCCGAGGGACGGTTTCGGCGTCTTAGAGAGAGGTCTTACCAACTGATCTCTGATGCGAAGAACGAACTCGAGACCTGCCGCGTAAAAGTGTGGTTTGTGTGTAGACCGAGGGGTTGAGAAGGGGCTGCTAAACGCACGATGCATACTGCCTTATAGAGAGTTGGAGACCTACCGCTTCCAGTCGCATCTACAGCCGTGCCCACAACGACACGTACACAGCTTCTAGCTCCTTGGAGGAGATCATGGCCGAAAGGTAAGAGCTCGGCCAAGGGCAGAGAAGAGAGTCGATGAGGAGATGGATACAGTTAATACTCAAAATAGGCAATCCCTTGGCCGCTGCATACGAGGGTTAAAAGCCATACACTTGCCAAAGGGAGACGCCATCTTTTTGGTGCCTGACCCACGACTGACCGGAAGAACATTCCGAATATCTGTCCAGAGTTTCGGTACATGCTTGACGGCTGGATGTGTCAATTCCAATATTCAGGCTGATGCATGTAGAGTCAGTCGTCCGACGTGAAGGCGTCACTGTCGTGTTGTGTTAGTCGTCCGTCTCGGCCAATGAGAACTCGGCGGCCCAACGGCGACTGCGGGCGGCCCTTTTGTTGAACCCCGCCCGCCTCGTCCTCGCTCCGTCTCTCCCCGGCCGCGCCATCATCCCACGATGCACCTCCCGCCCCGGGCCCAACAAACTCTCCCGACAGGCCTCCCTCGCATGCATCGGCCGACCCGTGCATGCCCTCGTCTCCGTCATGGCAGCGGTGGACGGCGCGCCGACCTTTGGCGCCGAGCTCAAGGTGGGCGGCCATCGCCGGGAGCCTCGTCGCCACGGCCACGACTGACATTTCCGCCCAGGACGGCTTCAGGCCCGCCAGCGCCTGGGTCAGCCACGGCATCGCCTGGCTCGACGAGATCCAGCAGTTCTACCGCGACCGCTCCGCCATTGAGCGCGAGTACAGCGCCAAGCTCGGCGGCCTCGCCAAGCGCTACTTCGACAAGAAGAACAAGCGGTCCGCCCAGCTGAGCGTCGGCGAATCCCCGACCATGACGCCCGGCTCGCTCGAGAGGTGTGTGGGCACCGCGTCTCCCTCTCCCCCTCCTCGCGAGACGCCCCGTCGCTGACCGCCGGACAGCGCCTCCATCACCACCTGGGCCACGCAGCTCACCACCCTCGAGGCCCGCGCCGCAGAGCACGACCGCTTCGCCGCAAACCTCGCCCAGCACGTCGCCGAGCCTCTTAAGCAGATTGCCGCCCGCTTCGACGAGCTCCGCAAGCGCCACGTCGAGTACGCCGACAAGCTCGCCGTCGAGCGCGATGCCTCGTACGCCGACCTGCGCAAGGTCAAGGCCAAGTACGACGCCGCCTGCCAGGACGTCGAGGCCAAGCGCAAAAAGTCCGAGTCCCACTACGACAAGGCAAAGGCCCAAAGTGCCTACCGCCAGCAGATCCTCGACATGAACAACGCCAAAAACACCTACCTCATCGCCATCAACGTCACCAACCGCCAGAAGGAAAAGTACTACCACGAATACGTCCCCGAGCTCATGGACAGCCTTCAGGACCTCAGCGAGTTCCGCACCATCAAGCTCAACGCCCTGTGGGGCGTCGCTGTCCGCCTTGAGACCGACATGCTGCAGCAGAGTCACGGCATCGTCGGCCGCCTGGGCGCCGAGATCACGAGGAACGAGCCGCACCTCGACTCGCTCATGTACATGCGCCACAACGTGGGTGCCTTCCAGGAGCCCCTCGACAAGGAGTTTGAGCCGAGCCCCGTCTGGCACGACGACGACGCCATGGCCATCGACGAGACGGCAAAGGTCTACCTGCGCAACGTCCTGACCAAGTCAAAGTCCCAGCTGGGCGAGCTCCGGAGAGAGGTGGACAAGAAGCGCAGAGAGGTCGAGAGCGTCAAGAAACTGAGGCTGCGCGTGCGCGACGGCACCGAGCAGAACAAGGACGAGGTCGAGGTTGTGCGCACCCTCTTCGCCATGCAGGAGGACCTGCACAGCGTCGACCGCCGCCGCCTGACGGCCGAGATCGAGACGTCGACCATCACCTCCGTCGTTGGCGACGTCACCCTCGGCGCCAAGAACCACAACTTCAAGGGCCAGACGTTCAAGATCCCCACAAACTGCGACCTCTGCGGCGAGCGCATCTGGGGCCTGAGCGCAAAGGGCTTCGACTGCAGGGACTGCGGCTATACGTGCCACAGCAAGTGCGAGATGAAGGTGCCCGCCAACTGCCCTGGCGAGCAAAGCAAGGAGGAGCGCAAGAAGCTCAAGGCCGAGCGCCAGGAGGCCGCCAACACACTCCTTGCGCCCGATGCCGGGCCCCCGGCGCACGTCGCCGAGCTGCCCGACCTGTCGCGCTCCAACACCATGAATTCTCTCAGCTCGCGCTCCGCTCGGCCCTCTCTGGCCGGGTCCGCCTCGGGCGCGCCACCCGCCGACGACAGTGGCGGTGCTGACGGGACGCCGAAGGCCGCCGCCCCGTCAGTCAAGGCCCTGGCTCCGGCCCCCGCGCGGAAGCGGGTAATGGCGCCTCCGCCCGCGGCGTATATCAGCGAGCTGCCCGGGAGCGACGTCAACGGCGCCAGGGAGGAGGAGAAGAAGAAGGGCAAGATGCTGTACTCGTTCGAGTCCAGCGGAGAGGGGGAGCTGTCTGTGCCGGGAGGCAGGGAGGTGGTCCAGCTTGGGCCCGACGGTGAGTTTGAGATTCCCCCCCTTTTGGGACGAAAGCCCCCTCACTGACTGCTGGCTCCCCCCCCTGCGCAGACGGCTCCGGCTGGGTCAAGGTCCGCGCCGGGTACAAAGAAGGCCTCGTCCCCGCGACCTATGTCGACTTCTCATCCCCAACGCCCCCTCCCGTCACGGCCCCGCGCCCCTCGTCGACCTACTCCAACTCGACGACGTCGTCGACGGCCGGCGCACCCGCGTCCGCATCCGCCGCCGCCAAGAAAAAGGGCCCCGCCGTCGCCCCCCGCCGCGGCGCCAAGAAGCTGCGCTACGTCGAGGCCCTGTACGAGTACGCCGCGCAGAGCGACGCCGAGCACTCCATGGTCGAGGGCGAGCGCTTCGTGCTCGTCAAGGACGACCCGGGCGACGGCTGGGTCGAGGTGGAGAAGGCCGGCGTCACGGGCAGCGTGCCCGCGAGCTACGTCCAGGCCGCCTAGCGGCCGCGGGCCAGGGCAGGCGCGCTACGGCACCGGCGGCTGGGGGATTCGGGCATGACGCCGTGAGGTGCGAGTCGAGTGTACGTGTACGTTGGGAACAAAGGGGATACGTCGGCATCGCGGTTCAAAGGGCGCGGGAACGAAGAGCACGGCCACAAGGTGCATACGGGAAAGACGAGCACGACTTCAAGATGTGTACACTTACATTATATATATGCATATGCGGGATGACTCACGGTCGTCTTGCGCGCACGGCTTCAATCATACGGCGTTTTGAACTCTGCATGTTTTCGTACCTCGCCATGGGGCCTAAAGTCAAGTGAGGTGGAAGACGGGCTTCGCATAATGTGCGAGTCGCCAGTGCTCTTTGTTTGTCGAGACGTTCGCCTGCCCGCGCGGGCGGCGATGCGTCCGCCTATGTATTTGAATCAGCATACAACAAGCAGGACCCGGGGGTGTCCATCCCCTCCCGTTCCCTTCGTTAATGCCGTTTGTCTAATTTTACACTTGCTCCCCCCTCGAACTCAGCGAGCCTGCGGGATCCCGGCCCCGGCCCTGGTATGATCCCCTGCATCGGAACAGGGTGTCGTCCGTTGGGTATTCGGATCCCGCCCGCCCGCTCCGGCCTCCCCTCGCCCTCTTCCTCGTCGCATCATCGCCGTGGGGGATATCGTGTCAACCAAAGGTATCCGAGTGCACCAGCCTTGAAAAGTTTTATGTCGCCCCTCTGCCCCTGGAAACGCCATGCCGAAAGGAACGCAGAACGCGAGAAGAATCAAAAACCACCCATAGACGAGCAGCACCAACGGGGTGGTGGAAAAGACCCAAGATGAAAGCAGAAATAGGGAGGAGGGAGATGAGATGAGATGGAAAATGAGGACCAGATGCAGGTGAGGAGAGGATTGGACGAGGGGGCAAAGGAGTAGGATAAAGGGACAAAGTGGTATCGCGCCGTCGCTGTTCCGTCGCGGCCAGATCTGGAATACGAGCTTTTCCCAAGGGCCAGCTGCCCTGGCGTGAGAAGAAGAAGTGGACGAATGGGTGAGGATTTGCGCCGTTTCGCCACCACAGCAGAGCCGTGGGAGGGGCAGAAGCAAACGGCGAGTGATGTGATGAAAAGGGATTCCGAAAGACGAAATGCGCGGCCAAAGTCTATGCGTCCGAGTCGTAAGTAGAGGAGAACTTCGTCGTCATCATTTCAGGTTCGTGCTTCCCGGGGACCTTGTGAGAGGGTTAAAGTATCCCCCCGGGGGCTGATGCGACGATGGCGTCGGGGGCGGCGGCGGCGGCGGCATTGGATTGCCTTGAGGAGTGCTACTCGGGGGTCTGGCGAGAGGGTCGAAATACTCCACCGAAGGCTGATGGCACGACTGCGATGGCAGCCCTCCCGAGGGTGCTGCGAGAGGGTCCAAGAACTCCGCCAGAGGTTGATGGTACGACTGCGATAGCGGTCCCGAGGGCCTTGCCAGAGGGTCAAAGTACTCCACCGGGGGCTGGGGCCGCGAGTTGGACGGCGTTGGCGGCCGCGGCGGATTGCCTTTTGGAGTACTGCCCGAGGGTTTTGCCAGAGGGTCAAAGTACTCCCCTGAAGGCGGGTGCAGCGACTCGGATGGCGTCGGCGCTGGGACATGGCCCTGGGGAGAACCACGAGGCACGTCAGGCGGATGCTTCTAGATCATCTGCGCCGTCGGTGCCGCGAGTCCCTGTTGCGTCAGGCTTTGGCGCAACGTCTCCTGAAGCTCCGCAATCTGGGCCATCATGGCAAGCGAGTGCTCCGACTGCTGTTCCACTTCGGCCTTGAGCTTCGCGTTTTCCTCGCGCAAGCGCTTGACCTCATCCCGGAGGTCGCCTGCCGCCTCGTCGTTGCCCGCGTCGCTCTGCCGCCGCTTCCGCTTCGCGCCTGACTTTTCGCTCTCGTTGTCCTCGGGCGAGGCGGCGCTGTCTACGGCTGGGGGCGTCGAGCCGTCCATGTGGGTGTGCACCCGGCGCAGGTGCTCGTTGAGGTTCTCCTGCCGGGAGAAACCCTTACCCGTGTGTCGCTTGCAGTTGGGGTGCGGACAATTGACCGTGTTCTTGGGGCCGCCGTGCTTGCCGTGGACTTCGCGCTCGTGCCTGAGGAGGCCGCCCGAGTATGTGAATCCGGGTAGATTCTCGCAGCCGTCGGCGGGACATCGATACGGACGCTCGTGCTTGTCCATGTGCTTGCTAGAGGAGGCAGACAAGGTAAGGATGGGACGAAAGAGTGGCAGTGCGTGGGCGGGCTTACTTCCACTCGCACTTGCGCGAGAAAGCGTTGACGTCCTCCTTGCAGTCAGGCAAGGGACAATGGTACTTGCCATCTGCCTGCTTCATGACGTCGCGATCAGGCTTAGGAATGGGCTTGCTTCGGGAGACTGAAGACGGCGAGCCGGCGCCAGGAGAAAGGTCATTACTCTCGAGGGGTCCTTCGTCGGCCATCAACGACGAGGCCAGAGGCATGTGTATGGGCGAGGGAAACGTCGACGAGTCCAGGCCCAGTCTCTCCGCATCTTGCGCCGCGGCAGCAACGACGCTGGCGGCGGCCGCCGCCGCCGCCGCCGCTGTCGCTGTCGCTGCGGTGTCGTCGTCGTCATCGGGGATGATGCCTCCGTCGTCGCCCATGACGTCGCCGTCGCCGGCCAGGACTTGGCGCTCATCGTCGAGGATGGAGGCCTCAGCTGTGTAGTGGCCCAGGTGCTCGGCGACGTCGGAGTCTGTGTAGCGTTGCTCGGCGACATGGTGGTCGTGATCGTCGCCGATGGACGGGTAGGCGCCCTCGTGGATAAAGGACCTCGGCTCATAGGCAACGCTCATTACTGCGACGACGCCACGATGGGCTGGAGCGGCCCGCGTCGTCGGGGGCCGGCTCGCCTCGGGCTACTACGGCCGGGACGCCAATCGGGACGAAATGAGAACGGGCGCAAAGTGACGGGAGCGATGCAGACCGAGAGGGGTTTGCGCCGTCGTGGGCGACGTGGCGGTGGTTGTCGCCGCCAGCGGCCCTGGTGCGAGTGGCCAGTCCGGGACCGAGGTCGATGACGGAGATGGCGAGGCTGAGAGCAGTGGTCGCGCACTGGGTTACGAGGAGACGTGATGGCCTGAAAATTATGGTATGAAGGTTTGACAAGTGGAATCAAGCCGCCTCGAGTGCCGGTGAGGTGAGTCAGCCAGCGAGACGGCACGTGATTGGTGGACTCTGCACCTGGTCCGAAAGATGGACGGCGGCGTTTGGAGATGGCTTCAACAAGTTTCGACCTTGTTGGGCGAGAAAGGCCGTAGCAGAACAGGGTTGGCTGGCCTAGATGGCGAATGCTCTTGTTAATGGTAGAGGGGGCGGCATCAATCAGGCGCGGTCACTTTGTGTATTCACTCTCTTGCAGCAACCGTATCCCGGCAACGACTGCCATTGACCATGCTATTGTTTTCCATGTCCACGAGCGATTCAGTTGTTACCGGAAGTGGAAGATGTATGCATTGGCATGGCGGTTTTACTCAATGTCACGAGATAGGTAGGCATCAATGCCAAAGAAATTGCAGTGAATGAGCTTCACCTGGTTGATGAATGAGGAGCACAATCGACAGGAATAACTAACTGCCGAGTAAACCGTTTGGTGGGCCGCTTCCCCACCGATCCCGCCGTGGACAAAGCGCCCTGCATGGAAGCAAAGGAAGCACAGTGACGAGCCTCAATTGCGGCATGATGAAGAATCACCGGCCAAATGCCTTCAGAAGTTCAGGCTTCAGCATCGGCTGTCCTTGGCGGGTACTTCCACCTTGTCCGTGGCAACCGCAACCGCAATGCCACCACGAGCCCCACCTGCCGCTGGCGCCAGCAACTAGGCGTCAAGCTAATAGTACATCGCCGAGAGCTTCACCGCAATTACTGTGGGCAAGGCTTTTCTCCCTCTCCTCCGTCCTCTCTTCCGCCTCGCGTATCCCCATGCCGTCCTCTTAGACCAACCATGCTAGAGCTTCCGTCATCTGTCGTCGCACATCTCCCTCTTCCTATCGTTACAGTCGACCCCCCTTTTTCGAGCCCGCCTCGGCAACCGACTTGGCACGCACGAACACCTCCTCACGCGTGATGCACCAGCACCACCAGCCAGAGCCGCCCAGCGCCGGCGGGAAGCCCGACGACGGTGCTCAGCAGGAATCCAGTGACGTTTCGCAGACGCCCTCGACCCGAGATGGCGTGGACAGCAACACCCATCCTGACGACTACGATGCAGAGACGGTTGAGCGCATATACAGGTTTGTGCTCTCATCAGCCACGGTTGTCCCAGTTCCACCTGCTCATCAGTGGCCTGCAGAAAGCTCGACCTGCGAATCATCCCTGGTCTGTCTATGGAGTCGCTCACATGCCTGATATCCGCTCACCGCCAGCCGCAGCTTTCTGGATTCTTTACTTTCTCTGCTCCGCCATTCGTTCCAACATTGGCATCGCCCAGACCATGAACAAAGACCGAGGACACGATCTCGTCACCATGCTGGGCCTTTCTCCCAGGGACGTCTCCACGGCCCTCGCTCTCTTCTACGTATCCTACGTTGTCTTTGATTTCCCCTCCAATCTCGTCATGAGCAAGCTGAGCCCCAGGGTCTGGATGGCCCGCATCGTTTTCGCAACCGGCATCGTCGGAGCCTGCTTCGCCGCTGTCCACGACGCCCGGTTCCTCAAGCTGCTGCGCTTCCTGCTCGGCCTCGTCATTGCCGGCATGTGGCCCGGCATGGCCTTTTACCTGACCCTCTTCTACCCCCCTTCGCGGACCGGTAAGCGCATCGGCATGTACTTTACCGCTGCCCAGGTGTCCGCTGCCGTCGTCGGCCTCGTCTCGGCGGGCTTCCAGCTCATGGACGGCGCCGGGGGCCTGGTGGGATTCCAGTGGATGTTCCTCATCTACGGCCTCGTCGCCGTGATGCTGAGCATCGTCCTCTTGTGGTGGCTCCCCGATCGGCCCCTGCCTCCGGGTCGGCAGCGGGAGCGATCCGGCTGGCTGCAATGGCTGCCGGCGACCCCCGAGGCACTCACTGGCCGGGATGCCGTCGTTCATTATCACGATCTCCGTCGAGTCTACCACGCCCAGCCCTGGACTCTGAAAGACTTGGGCGCTGTCCTCCTGGACTGGCGCTTGTGGCCGTTGTGCTTGATGTACTTTGGCGTGGTCGGGGTCGGCATCGGCACCCAGCTGTACGGCTCCGTCATCATCGCAGCCATTCAGCCGCAGGCGACTGCTATACAGGTCTCTCTCTTGTTTGCACCCATCTGGATTGTAAGACAGGCCTGCAATCCTTGCTCTCAAGTGCTCCACTGACCACGCTCGGCTCAGATGGACTTGATTGCCATTCTCCTCGTCACCCCTATATCCGATCGCTTTCACTGCTACCGAGCCTTCTTCTTCTCCGCATCTGCCTGCGTCCAGATGGCCGGACTCCTCGTGACCACGTTTGCGCTCAGCAATGGATGGGCGCGCTACGGCGGACTGCTCATGGTAGGCTTTGGCCTCGGGCCTACCGTGCCAATATGCATGGCCTGGACCTCGGAGGTCTTCCAGCATCGGCACGGCGAGGTGGGTGTTGCCGCCGCGACGGCCCTCGTGTCCGGACTGGGCAATCTGGGTAGCGTCACGACGACCTATGCGCTGTACACGGGCTGGCCGGAGGACGCAAAGCGTGGCCAGCATCAGTTTCGCGGAAGTAACCTGACCATGGTGGGCATACTGGGCATGAGCATTGCGAGCGCCTTGCTCATGACGGTCCTGCTCAAATTTGTGGGCAAACCCCCGAGCACCAAGCTCCGCGACGGCGACTCGGCCGGCGTGATGGAGGACGGGGCTGCACGCCGCGAGACTCAGCAGCGCGGCTTTGGACGGCTCGACCGCTGGGTGAGGGCGCGATGGGCATAAACACCGCCGAGATGCCGATTCGGACGCCTTGGGCCTCTGGATAACGGGCTCCCACACTTTGGCCTTGACGCTTTGATTAACTCTTTTCTTTTCTCTAAGATACCCCATCAGCGTTTCTACCCGCTTGTCAGACGAGTTCGGTTTGCTTCTCGACGGCGACAGTGCTGCTACGCCATTGCCGGGACGGCGTGTTTGAACCGAGGCCCAGGACCGACGACAATGCCGGTGCGCTATCGCTCGGTGGGCCTCGTGGGCATTTTTGCTTTTGTGCGAGGAAGAGTGTTTCTTGGGGAGATGATGGGCTGCAGACGTGGGCAGGCCATGATCAGCTACGTGAGGTTAAACCATTCGTAGATATTTCTCAGCACAATGCTATTCTTGCGTCAGGCCGCCAGTTGCCGGACTGATCGACGCAGTGTCCGAGACATGGGCGAAACACGAAGTAGGATTTTCGCCCGCTGCCCATGATATGTACGGAGCATGGGACAGGCAGATCACGAAGAATGGAAACAGGGTATGATTGATTGCACAATGGCGTGCAGAGAAGAAGGCCTCCTCATACGGTCGCCCCTGTCCATCTCCCGGCCGTGTCGTTGCACAAAGGGCGGCATCGCAACGCAGGACGAAAAATACGAAGATGCCGGGTCCGAGTCCTGCATAAGGCCAGATTCTGTTAAGTGAAGCATGGTCCGTTAAGAGGGGGAGGACCAATGCGCCGGGGCGATGGAATGGCACGGGGACGGATCTTCGGGCGGGGGTGGGGCTGGGAGAACGGTGGGATGAGCGCCGGCCTCGGCAGTGGGCTTCGGGAAAATTCAATTGCCGGGGAAGCCTGGGTGAGCATGGGGTAAGCAAACAAGGTAAGCGGCGGAGTCGGACTTTACGGAGGTGATGTCACGGGTTCACATGCAAGCCTCATGTCGACACTAGAAAAGGACAAACGACCTGTCTCTTTTTCCCGCCTTTTGGTTTTCTCGGCTTCTCATTCGTGGTGAGGCCTTCGTTCTGTATGCGCGTGACTGACGCTGCTGCCAGAGGGGGGGATGTAATTACTGGACTGTACGTCTGTAGGTATATGTGGCCCAAGATTAAACGTGCGCAAGTGCGTCGAGGCGAGATGAGCATGTGCGCTGGCGCAATGCAACCCTTAGGGTCGAGGTTAAATCAGAAGCGAGTCCGCTTCAAGTATGAATGCGACCTTGAGGCGCACGTTTCTTTTTGATTGCGGGCATGCGGGCAGTCATGCGAGTGGTGGCATGGGGAAGCAGGCCTCTTATGAAGCCGTCGACGGCTTCTTTCCTCATGACGATGATGGCACACACCACACGGCAGAGAGCATCGGGCTCGACCAGGGCGCTTAAGGGTGTCCGTGCCCCGTGTGCCCGTGATGCAGATGGAAAACCGTCAGTGGCCATCGGTTAGTGGTGGTTTGACAAGGCATCGTGACCTGGGCTGCGATGGTCAGCAGAGTCCAGTGACACGACAGCTGGAGGGGCGTGGATATGTATGTAGATGTGGGTGTAGGGGCAAGGAGAGGTGTGTGGGGGGGACGGGGGGCGGGGGGCGAGGGGAGGAAATGGGATGACGATGCAGGAGAACATGTGACGATGAACCGCAGACGACATTCTGTGCAACGCCGAGGGACAACGTGTCTTTGTCTTCCTTGCGGCTTTGTCCAGTATTACGGCTTTGTCCAGTATTACGGCTTTGTCCAGTACGGCACGTAGTTCCGTACGTAGTTCCGTATGGGGGTTGGCGTATGTGGTGGCACAGCTCCTGCCTGGCAGGAAGAGTGCTAAAGCCAACTGTCACGCGATGGGCCGTCCAAGGGTGGGTGGACAGGGCCCTGAGAGGGCGCCGGGCTGGCAAGACGTTTGCTTGGACAATGACGCATCATGATGAATCAGTTTTCGGCGTAAATCTGTAAACCTACTCGGTTGTTTGTGTTAGACGGGAAACTGTTTTCATTACGTTATAACCCGAGGTCTCTTTCCTTCCCCCTTGTCGATAAAATCGAGATAGGCGAGTAGAAAGCAAGGAGCTGTCGTGTTCCACGAGCAACGGACGGAACGGGTCCTCGCATCTTTCATGTTAGCAGGGGCCAAGAGAGGGTGAGAAAAAGCAAAGAAACCCCACGGTGGGGTTTAACTAGGCACCCGCGACTCCCGCCCACGCGAGTTCGGGCAGCACCTTGTAGTGGGCCTCTCGCGAAGTCAGGAAACATGTTGGTGGTTGATTGGGTGCGCGGGTGGGAGAGACCATGGGTCCTCCTTGAAGACAGTCTTTTTTTTTCTCTTCCGCATATAGGGGGGCGGAGAGATGCTTTGTCCGAGTCTCGAGGTTGGCGCGGCGAGTCAGGCCAAAGAGACGAGAGAGAAGGTTGTCTTATATAGGAGTGCTGTCGAGCCGGACGCTCGTGTTTGATCGAAGCTTGTTTGAGATTCAAGGGATCAGTGCAAAAACTCCTCCGTGTCATCCACCCATCCTTTGCAACGCTTCTCTCTGGTGCCAGCGACCAAGACATGCGTAGGCAACAGGTGCATGCACACAGGCAGTGTGACCCCAGTGCCGGGCGGGCGCGCACGCACGGGATTGATGGGGGGGCATGGGACGAGGACGAGGCGCAGCGCAGGGCAGCGCAGGGCAGCGCATGGCAGAGCGTAGAGAGGACGAGGAGAGAGAATAAATGCAAAGGAAAGGGGACGGACGAGATGAGATGGGTGCGACCTTGATTAGTCACTTATTGAGAGCCTCTACTCTACTGTACTGCTGTACTGCTGTACAGTACCAACCAGGTTAGCGCCTTTTCCTTTGCTTACGTACGCCAGCACCCAAAGGCTGCATCTAGGTAATTACCAGGTAATTACCCTACAGTACCGATTATTTTACAGTACTCTCTGCACGGATAACTGCTGTTTCTTCCCCAACCGGGAACAAGAATCATGGTTTTGCTTCTAATTATGGGCCAAATTACTTATGTTGTGCGTCTAATCCTGTCCGCGCCCCACACGACCCTTTTTCTTGCGTCAAGATGAGAGAGACAAGTGGCTTCCAGGTCTGCATCCATGTCTCTCCATGCTCTGTGCTCCCCAGCCACACCCGCCCAGGGCGATTCGAAAGAGGTCAGGGTCGCGTGCTCCCTCTCCTTTTGCCCTCTCTGGACAGCTTGGTGTAGTTCGTCGGACCTTTTCTTGGCAATGATGCCGCCATACTGTACACATACACACCATCACTATTCCTTGCTCTCTTTTTGTCTTACCTTTTCCCTCACCCTTCCCGGGAACACTTCCCGGGAACACGGCAGTGAGGTGTCACATACACTACAGCGTGGCCAGGCCCTCCTCCCTTGTACATGGCCAACGAGGACTGGACTTGCCTTGGCGTCTTTTCTTTTGGAGAATCATGTGTCCTTGGGTCGACCACAGGACGGGGTGGGCATTGGGGGCATGGATCGGCAGGCTGACAGTCAGACATGACGACCAAAAAGAGCTGTTGCATTTATTCCCACCCTGTCCTTGGCCGCGGCTTGTGGACGCAGTCGTTCCATTGCGCGGCCACGAGTCTGCGGGACACTTGTCGTCGGCCCAAGTGGCCGCACAGAGCAGGCCGAGGGAGATGGCGAGACCGACTTTGATAACACCGTCTCGGAACGGTTCCCAGGTCTTGTGTGTTCAAGGGAGACTCCGCCTTTGCTGTAAGCCCGACTCGAGAAAACAGGGACCTGAAAAGGAAAAGGAAAAAGAGAAACGGCCGCAGTCGGTTGTCGTTGCCTGCAATATAAAGTTTCCCTTTACTCTCCCCTCCGCCTCTTCCTTCCCTTCCCTTGCCTTGCTACCCTTTCTTGCGTCTGTCGCTCATCCGCTCATTTAGCCCCGAGACTGAACCCGTGCCGCTGTCTGCGCGCCAGCCTGCCCTTTCTACCCTCTAATTCTCTAGTACCACTCCTGCCTGCCCGTTATGCGATGGCACATTAGCTTGCGCCTCTCTCTCACTCATTTTGATCACGTTTAGAGGCTCAACGAGGCAACGAGGCAACGAGGCAACGAGGCAGCACGGCACAGATCTCTATTCGACTTGCTCCCCTCCCTTCCAGCCCAGCCCGCTTCTCTCCCGGTCTCAGCCCTCGTGCCAGACGAAGCAGCGCCGTCAAGTCGACCGATGCCACAGGAACCGGTATCCTCCCTTTCCCCCACCCCACCTCGTGGTCCGTTCCTTGCCTGGTAATGAAATGAAGGAGTGACTGAACCGTCTCTTTTGCCTCCAGTTCTTAGCTTCAGCCTGACCGTTGCTGGCTCCTTGCTCCTGTCTAGCTGAATAGCCGGCTTCCTTCGGTTCGTCTCGACCCAATTGGTGCCTTGGCCTCGCGCCTTCGCTCTGCACTCACCTTGCCTTACACGCTGGACCGTCATTCAGTCACTCTTTCGTCTGTTCACTCACTTACATACATCGAGTCATTCGTTGGACGGCCCGCTCGCCCACTTACACCCGCCCCTTCCTTCCTCTTGCACCCATCTGGAGTGGAAGCTCCTTCCATCTCTCCCTCCCTCTTCCCGATACCCCCCCCGCCTTCCTCATCTCACACCCACCGCCCCCTTCCCTCGTCTCCTCCCTTTCAAGATCATTCCAAGCCTGAAGTACAGTCGAGCATCCGCCTTCCATCTAGACCCTGCATCTCAGCCTCTCGTTAAGTTTGCCATCATAAATATACGGCTTCATTCCCGCCCACTCGTGTCATTGTTCCCCTTCTACTCGTTGTTCATCTCTTAACCCCACCCTCCTTTCGGCTCTCCACTGTCAGTCACGGCCCCAGGTCCATCCCCTCCTTGCCAAGAGCCAGGCTCGTGACAGCGCCATGAAGTTCATTCGGCTGGCCGCCGCCGCCCTTCTCGCCGTCCTCGGGCGGGAGGCCGATGCGGAATCAAAGTTCACCCCTGCCAGGCCCCCCGCCGCTCCGTTGGCCGTTCGCTCGCCCTACCTCAACGTCTGGCTCAACGGCCGCACCGATGGCAAACCAAGTGGCTATTTGCCGGGCCAGTGGCCTCGCTTCTGGACGTAGGTCTCTTGTCTGTCTACAGGACGAAACTCATTGGCTGACACCTCGTATAGTCAAGCAATCCAAGGATGGCAGGGGTTCGTCAAGGTCGACGGCAAGGCCTTCAACTGGATGGGAGACGCCCCCGACTCGCCTCCCGTCGTCGACCAGGTGTCGCTCGAGTACACCTCGACCAGGACCACCTTCATCATGAACGTTGACGGCAAGGTCCAGCTGTCCATCAAATTCTTGTCCCCCGTCTTCTATGACGACATGCGCAGGCAGTCCGTCACTTCATCCTACCTCGAGGTCTCTGCCAAGTCGCTCGACGGCCGAAGTCACAAGGTCCAAGTCTATTGCGACGTGTCTGGAGGTGCGTTTCCTCACCGTGACTTGTCTCAACGTTGACTGACAGACGCGTACAGAATGGGCCAGTGGCGACGTCGCCGCCACCATCCAGTGGGAGAGCCACTCCAGGGATGGCGTGCGCTACCACAAGTTTTCCCGCAAGGACCAGCAAGTCTTTAAAGACGTCAACGAAATTGCTTCGTGGGGCAACTGGTACTGGGCCACTGGCGAAAAGGTATGTCGAGTGCGCGAGGAAATCGACCGTCGTCCCGACTAATGCGTGGACAGCCCGGCCTCAGCTACCAAATTGGAGCGGATACCGACGTGCGCAGGAAGTTCCTCAATGACGGCCGTCTTAGCGGTGACATTGATAGGAACTTTCGAGCCATCAATGACCGATGGTGAGTCGCGGCCCCTGACTCCCTCTCCCGACGTTCGAGTAAGCCGGGTGCATGCTAATCGGCATAGGCCCGTCTTTGCTTTTGCTCGCGACCTCGGTGACGTTGGAAACGACTGGGCCAGCACGCTCTTCACCATTGGCTACACCCAGGACGATGCCATCAACTTCCAGGGCAAGGAGGCTAACCCCCGGGCCGTTCCCTCGCTTTGGAAGCAGTGGTTCTCCGAGGACCAGCTCGTCAGTTACTTTTACAAGGACTACGGATTTGCCAGCCAGCACTCGGAACGGCTCGATGCTCGTGTAGCCCAGGACTCGAGGGCTGCTGCCGGCGACGATTACCTGACGATCACCAGTCTGTCTGTTCGCCAGGTCTTTGGCGCGCTTGGCATCACCGGTACCCAGCAGCAGACGCTCGTCTTCCTCAAAGAAATCAGCTCCAACAGCGACATACAAACCGTCGACGTCATCTTCCCAGCCTTCCCCATCCTGTTGTATCTCAACCCCGACCTCATCCGCTACATGCTCGACCCGCTGCTGGAGAATGGCCGGACCCACTACCCCAACAACTACGCCCAGGTGAGCACCAACGGCCCACTTCCGGTCACATCCTCCCAGCCGGGGTAAAAAGGCATGGTCGAAGGCGACGCTGACAATTGACAGCATGATCTTGGGCGGTACCCCGTTGCTCTGGGCCACCCCAAGGGAGATGACGAGCCCATGCCATTGGAGGAGTGCGGAAACATGGTCATCATGATGCTGGCGTACGCGCAGAAGAAGAGAGACAACAAGTATCTCGCCGACAACTGGGATCTGCTGGAGAAGTGGGCCCAGTACTTGATTCAGGACGCCAAGATCCCCGCCAACCAGCTCTCTACGGATGATTTCGCTGGTCATCTTGCGTAAGTAGAGATTTCCTCCTGTTGGGTGCCTGTTGGGTGCCTGTTGGTGGCGAGATGGGAGCTGACCGACGACGATGCCAACAGCAACCAAACCAACCTCGCAATCAAGGGCATCATCGCCCTCGAGGCCATGTCGAGAATAGCAGACTTGACGGGCCACCAGGACCAAAGCGACAACTACTCGACGACCGCAGCCGATTACCTCAAGTTCTGGACGGAGCATGGCGTCAACACCGGGGCCAACCCCAGGCACACCATGCTCCAGTACGACAGTCCCGACACCCACGGTATGTGTTTGCCCTTGTTCCCTGGAGTTCCATTGCTGACGCGTTGCTGTCGCAGGCCTGCTGTACAACATTTACTCAGACAAGTTGCTCGGTCTCGACTTGATCCCGCAGTCCATCTACGACATGCAGAGCGACTTTTACCTCAGCGCGCAACAGCAGTTTGGCGTCATCCTCGACACGCGCGGCACTCTCACCAAAGTCGACTGGGAACTGTTCGCCGCGGCAGTGGCCAAGCAGGAGACGCGTGACATGTTTATCCGCAAGATTGCAGACTGGATCAACCGCACAACTACGTGGCGTGCGTTTACCGATCTCTACGACGTGGAGTCGGGCGGATACCCGCGTGGGATTGAGTTCACCGCACGGCCCGTCCAGGGTGGTGTCTTTTCCCTGCTCGCCCTCAATGGGCAGGGGGATGGATAGAGGGACGAGGAAGTGGCCAAGAGTCTCGAGAGGAGACGCGCGATTCCCAACCGGACCGACCGCCCTGGACGGGTCCCTGGATCAATCGCACTAGCACGAGATTGCAGACTGCATCAACCGCCCTGGACGGGACACGGGATCAACAACACGAGCGCGAGACTGCAGACTTGATTCGCCGCACAATGCGTCCAGCGCAGTGTCTTTTCCTCGCTGGCGCTTGACGGATGGGGGAGTGGAGGGTCGAAGAATACCCAGGGAGTATAAATACCACAGCATCATTCCCGGCCTCGGCTCCTGCGCTCCCGATAACCTTGTTCTTCTCCCCGTTATATATTGTCGGCCGCCCCTACGCTATTGTATATATCTCAAGCCCGCACTCATTAACTGCATGCTCGGCCCGCTGCCGTCTGCGGCGGGCCAGGTGGTGGCGAACGGTTCATATACTCGGCTGCTTAATGAATAGCTTGCTCGGGTGCTCAAGATGATACACTGAAGTGACTGCTTTCCCGAGCCGGTACTTGGCGGCCTGTTCGCCTGGCTGCTCGATTAACGCGACTCAGCATTGAGGTTTGCGCCGTGCGGGGAGATGGCGGAACCAGGCCATCGGGGCGCTCGTCTCGGCCGTCGGGAGTGCCATGGATTGTCGCCGTGCATCTGCATCTCGCCTCGTGGTCGATGCATCGTCTCTCTTGGTCATTGCTGTGCAAATGTTTGAGCTCCTTGCACAATGGGTACGAATACGAAGTGCAATGCCGCTAATTACGTCATGCCATTCTGACAGCTCGAGCCTCTCTGCCTTACCGCCTCAGGCACCAGGCAGGCCCGTCGCCTTGATTGGCCCAATTCTGCCCCCCTGGCCCCCACACACCGCCCTGGGCACGGGTATAAATACTCGCCGCGAGCACGCTCGTTTCCCCAGTCTTTCCTTCCTTTCTTCCTTAGCTCTCTTTGCCTTTTGGCTTAGATCAAGTGTAGTATCTGTTCTTTTCAGTTTAATCTCTGGAAGTCCTCCACTGGAGGTCATCTGTGATTATCCTCATTTTTGGAGCCCGGCCTGTCGCTCCTCTGCGCCTTGCGCATGAGCTCGGCCACTGTGTCCCTGGTACCACACTGCCTTCAGGTGATGCGAAGACGCCAATCTTTCATTGCTAGCTCGGGCTCTGCCTGGGTGGTGAAGAAGGAAAATGAACTGCCTGACGTGTGCGGTAATTGGGGTTCCGGGTTGTGTACGCACGATGTTGGCGGTCATGAGCGCCTTGCGATGCGAGGAAGAGGGAGGGAGTCTCGTACGTTGGATGAGTTTCAACCACTGTAACCGCTGAAAAGCAAGAGTAAACAAACTCCTGCGTGGGGAGCTATGAGGCTCTCGCCACCGAGATGCCATCGCCCTGTGAAGATGGCTGTGATGATTGCTGTGAACCAGGCCGTGAAAATTCTGCCCACCAGGGACCGCAACGCCGCAGAGCGAGACGACCAGAGGTAGCAGCCCAAGAGGAAATAAAACCATGTCGAACCTCACGTTGCTCCAATCCTGTGCTCGCCATTTCGACCCAGGGTATTTGTGGCGTTTGCTCTGCCTATTTTCCCTCACACCTCGCACAACCCCATCCTTGCGCACACACAGATCATCACGACAAACCACAACCCTCTCGAGGCCGCCTGCAACAGCCAGCCAGTCAGTCAGCCTCTTCCCCGACACCAACAACGGTTTTCTTCGCGCGCCATGTCCTCAGCCCCGCCCGCGCCGCTGCTGGACCCGTCCATCTTCGCCTACCTCGAGGCCAAGGTGGACGAGGAGACGCAGGTGCGCGACGCCCTGGGCCAGATTGTGCAGCGCCTGGACCGCGCCGTCGCCGCCGCCCAGGGCCTGCTGTCGCGCGTGCACTCGACGCCGCGCTCGCGCTGTGGGTTTGCTCGTCCCGTCCTTGGGACCCCGCCGCCTCCGTCCTCTGGGGTTGGGGGGGGGTGAAATAAATGCCAGGCAAAAAGGCTGATTCTTTCCCGGCTGCGCGACAGATGCAGAGCTCGTGGCCCAGGTCGAAAAGGCTGTGCGGGATGAGGTGGCCGTCGTCAAGGAGCTCGACGGCCTGGCTTCCAAGCACGCGTACTACAAGTCTGTGTCTAATCACCTACCGTGCTCTTGTTCCCTCGAGGTGCAAGACTGCTGACGCGGCATCGCGAAACTCGCCCAGGTACAACTCCAAGTGGTCGCGCGCCGTGCAGAGCGCCATGGGCACCGCCATCTACTGCGCCTGGCTCGGCGGCTTCCCCTCGTCGGCGGCGGCACCAGGCCAGGTCGGCCGGCTGCTGACGCTGGAAGAGCTCGGGGCCATCTTCTCCGGTGCGCAGCCCATACCATCTCGGAGAGAGCATGCTCCCCATCCAGCCAAGGAGGTCCCACGTCTGCGTGTGTCCACCCAGCTAACGGCGGGAGTGCAAACCGCCCCCCCCAGCCCCCACCAACCTCAAGGATCGTGACGCCTTCCACCTCACCATCGAGGAGTACCTGCTCGCCCTCACCGACCTGACGCAGGACCTGTCGCGCCTCGCCACAAACGCCGTCACCCACGGCGACTTTGACCTGCCCATGGTCATCAGCGCCTTTGTCAAGGACCTCTTTGCCGGCTTCCAGCTGCTCAACCTCAAGAACGACATTCTCCGCAAGCGCGCCGACGCCGTCAAGTACGACGTCAAGAGGGTCGAGGACGTCGTCTACGACCTCAGCCTCAGGGGCCTCGTTGCCAGGCCCAGCGCGGTCGATACGGACATGAAGACGGAGGAATGAAACCCCCCAACAAGAGAGCATGTTGCTGGTCTTCAGGTTGGCCCAGCGCGCAGCCGACGTGTCAAGACATCGCAATGGCATCGCAGCCTCTAAAGTTATCATGGTCATGCAAATAGATGAAGTACGTCTGTCTGAGTCTCGTGGCTTCCCTTGCTATGCTCTTCAGTTCCACTGGCCTGTTGGTTGCCTGTCGTTTATTGTACATTTGTCCACACTCTTCCATCATGCCCCTGACCGTGTCATCCAGACTGCCCAAGAAAATTGCAGACCGAATCGACCTTGGATCCACTCGCGCAGAGATCTCACCAAGTCTGACCACGCCAAGCCGAGAGGCTCAGATAGCCTACGCCATGCCCCCCTATTCTGGGCAATTCCAACGCTCAGCAAAGTAAAGGACAAAGGTGAAGCAATCGGGCCCCAGGGCATTCAATAACCATGCTCGCTAGTCGTGCCTGAAAGTGCACTTGTCGCCTCGCGCGCACTTGCCCTGCTGCCAGAATGTGCACGGCTTCGTGCCTATGAGTGCTTTGTTCACCGGCTTATGAGGTGGCAGCGTGCTCTTCTTCTTGCGACCATCCTTGGTATCCCCCTTGTGCTGCTCGACTCGGCCGCCCTGGTTCTCGTTCCGGTCCCAGTCACGGTCTCCCGGGTATACCGATGCCTGCTGCTGGCTCTGACTCGCTTGGGATAAGGCCTGATACGTGGCGTCGTAGCCACCGGCATTTGTCTGCGTGTGGCTTGGCTGGTTGATGGCCGCGAGTATCGACTGTAACTGGCTGTCGAGAATCTGTGGCTGGTGACCAACGGTCGCTGCAGCAGCGGATGGCTGCTGCGCCATATGCTGCTGCTGCGGCTGCGGCTGCGGCTGCGGCTGCGGTTGCGGTTGCGGCTTCGGCTGCTGGCCTCCCGTCATCTGTTGCAGCAGGGCCATGTACGGTGCATACGCCTGCTGCTGCTGTTGCGCGTAGTAGGCGCTCCAGTCTTGCGCGTTGCCGGATCCCTGGCCCGCCGTGCCGAGCGCACTGGCCTCGGCTCCGGCCCGAGCGCTCTCCTCCTCCATCTTTCTCTGCCTTGCTGCAGTCTCCTTGTTATAGCCCAACCACCACTCTCGTACCCGTTCCCCGTCCTTCATCAGCCATTCTGGAGGCGAAGAGGCAGGGTATGGCTTGCCGGCAAGGCTCGTAGCCACGCTCTCTACGGCCTTGCCCACGGCCTGGACATCGGAGCTGCTGTATTGGTGCACGCGCGATACGTCGACGTGGACGGGATTCGGGTCGCGCCACGATCCGATCCTATCCCAATTTAGCCAGCCCAAAATATACGCCTCCACAGCAGGTCCCATGGCGAGAGGAACGTTGATGTTTTTCGACGCCGATGCTGTGCTCACGGTCGCCGCTTGGGTGGACGATGATGGCTGCCGCCCTGCGCCGGAGCCCGATTGGTGGAGACGCCCCAGGATGGAGTCTAGTTTCGTCGACACATGGCCCTTTGGATTGAGGCGCTTCGTTGCCGCGAGGCAAGCTTTGTCAAGGCCCATCTGCTCCCCTTCTTTCCATCGCAGATGGATCTCGCTGAACATGGGCTCGTCTTCAGGAAGTCGCCCGACCTTGGTTTCGGCGCCGGTGGTGGGTGCCTCAGGCGGAGGCGACTTGGGCGTTGGTGGAATGTCGGCCGGGTCCGTGTAGATGACCATGAGCTCGCGCTGTTCCCGCTCGGCCATGAGCTTCTGCTCCTCGGTGCTAAAGACAAGGCGACCCCCGCGTGTCACGTAGCTCCTTTTTCGCATTTCTTCCGGGAGGTTCGACAGGTTCATGGCGGTCGGCGCAGTCCACGGCCGGTATGGGATATCGTCGTCTTCATCCTCCATGGTTTCGTTGGCGCGCCGCTTGAGGACCATTCCCTCGGAGCGGTCGTCTGCGGCATCTCTGATCATGTTCATGCCCCGGCCCTCGTCCTCGTCGTCATCCTTCTCGAAGACCTTGATTTGAACCAACTCACCCTCGGGCTTCCAGCTCACACGAAGCCTGCGCCGCGCCTCCTTGCGGAGCCGCTTGGCTGTTTGCCCCGGGGTCTCGGGCGTCTGTGATCTCTTTCCCTCCCGTGACGCGGCCGCCACCGCCACCGCCACGTGATCCGGCTTCTTCGCATTGATGGAGTCGAGTAGTGATGAGATGCTCGACACAGCGCCGGAAGCTGCCGAGGGCCTCGTTTCTTTCTTCGCGGTCGCCGGCTTGGCTTCCAGTTTAGCAGCTGTCCTCTTCGCTTCTGCCTTGCCCTTTTCATCGGCGGAAGTGCTTGGGCTTTCAGCTGCCGCTGGCTGCTCCTGTGGTTTGGCGGCCGGCTTGGGGACCGGTCGTGGTTTGCCAGGCAAGATAGACATGGCCGGCTTCGATGCCGCAGCCGCACCCGCCCTCGAGGCGAACTGGGGGTGGCTCTTAGGCTGGCCAAGCTTCTTGCTCAGCAGTGAGGAGCTACCAGGCTCGACAGCGATCTTCTTGACATTGCGAGTCACATCGGAGTCATCATCTCTGCTCCTCTTCGACGAGGGATCCCCAGACCCGGAGGACCTGGTCCCTGATTTCGCTCTGCTGGCTGCCGAGGTCCCGGTGTACCCTGTTGCCGTGTCGGACTCGTTCGCCCTGGTAAACTTTCTAATTTTGGACGAAATCTCGCGAACCAAGTCCTTGACCTCGTCGTCACCCTTGTCCTCCAGCCGTTTCCGCACCGTGTCGAAGTTTGTGGTTTCGACAATCTTCTTGGTCATGGTCAAGTGTGTGAAGAGCTCGAGCACAATCTTGGCTAGTTTCCCAGAAAAATCACCGGCCTTGATGCACGAAATCAAGGTGTTGACCAAGCTGAGAACAAGTTTCTGGTGCCCACCGAGATTGTCCAGCACAGCATCGTCTGCGTGTTCGACGATGGCATCCAGGGCCTGGTAGAGAGTTTCCTTCTTCAGGTCTGCCTCTTGCCTCAACTTGGCGATTTCGGCGTCGGGTTTCTTGTCCTTCATCGCCTGATCCAACGCCAGCTTGGCGCGGTTTGCCTCGCCGCGAAGGCTGATGAGAGATTCGCCGGCCTGCTGCACACGACCGGCGATGAGGGCACTCGTGCGGGAGACGGCCTGGTCGATGTGCACGATCCCAATGATATCCCAGGCGGCGGCCGCAGCAGGGTCCGCGGGTCGCACAGGGGCTCGAACCTGTCGAGCGAGTCAGTTCCTTGCCTCTTTGATTTTGGTGAGAGACAAGGGGGGGGGAATCATGGGCCTGAATACTTACGGGTTTGTTTCGCTCCTCCTCCAGCTCCTTCTTGGCCCTCTTCTCCGCCTTGTTCTTGGAGGCCTCGTCGGCTTTAAGCTGTTCTTTGAAGGCATCTATGGGGGGTCAGAGACTTGTTAGCCAGCGCCTCATCATCGATCAAGAGGGGAGGGGTTTGTCATCTGTACGTACGTGGATACTCTGTGTATTTTGGCTGTCGCTTGCCCAACGCCTTCATCGAGCGATCGTAGTCGTCGAGGAGATCTTTGGCTTCTTCTCTCCTTTCATCTAGGCCAGGTTTGTCGAAAGACGGCTTGTACTGGCTGGTGAATCTGCCTTGAATCTCACATGGCAAATCGTAACCCAGACCAGGGACAGCGGGCTTGCCACTGCGCGGGGGCACCGCGACCAGTGGTGCTAGTTTGTCGTAGCTTTTGGGAACTGACCGCATACTCTGCTTAGTCTTGCGGTATGAGAAAGAGGGGGGCCCACGAGCAAGCCTTACCAGGGAGCTTGATGGTTCCACAGTGTGCGAGAAATGGCAGCGCCTTTGCAGCGGGGAGCTTCCTCTGAGCGGGCTTGGATCTTTTGGCCGATTCAGCTATCAAGCTGGCTTCCTCGGCAGACGGAACAGGGGCCTGAAGCGAAACCACATCCTCAGCCTTTCGTGCCCCAGATTCGGCCAACAACGAATCGGCCCCAATAGGAGCTGGCGATTCCGCACTCGTAACCTCCGAAGCGCTCCTAGTCGAGCGCTTTCTCTTCTTGGCCGGCGACTGCTCGTCGGCATCGACAGATGGGTGCTGATTCAGCGCCGGCTGAGCATGGCCAACAGCGGAAGGGTTCTGCAGACCAGCCGCCTGCGGCTGCCTCGTCTGCTGCTCGTCGATGGATATGGAACCGACAGAGCCCGGCCCTGGTTGTTGAAATGTGTTCGGCTTCTGGGGTACAAAGCCGGGTTGCTGGAATCGAGCCTGTTGCAGATGCGATTGTGCGACTTGATCCTGGAACTGGGGGTATGCCAGGTGGGCGTGCGGCCCGACTTGATAGTGGTCTGGCTGTCCGTTTGTGGAGGGTGCAAATGGCTGATCTGCGGCAGAGTATGGTCGCGGCTGCTGTTGCTGCTGCGGTTGTTGCTGCTGCTGCTGATGTTGGCGATGATGATGGAGAGGAGTCTGCTGTGGAGCTTGTGCGAACGCCTGGTTCTGGGGAAACCCGGTGTGGAGGTTGTTGTTTCCGTCAAAGTGCTGTTGCAACGACGTATGACTCTGCTGGCGGCTTGAGCCCGGACGAGGCATCAAGGGAGGGGGGCTGTACTGTGGAGCTTGGGCGGGGCCAGGAGAGGGGCCGAACGGCTGGCCGCCTTGCGGCGTGAACGAGTAGTCGTGCTGAGCAAAGACCTGGCCGTGATTCTGGCCTTGGCCGACACCAATCGGGCCGATGCCCCCTCCAGCGATGCCGGCACCAGAAAGATTCACCTTTCCTTGATGCTGCTGTTGCTGCGACCCAAACAAGTCTGGGTGGATGTTGGTGAAGGCAGGATCCAAGATATCCTGGCTGGCAGAGGAGAACTGCTGGTGCTGATTGAGGGGCATGGAGCCGTGCCCGGCGGCGCCGTGGAAGCCGGTCTGGCCTGACTGGGAGTTGGTCAAGTGCTGGTCGCCAAGAAAGGCACCAGCAGCGCCGTGGTGCACAGGGTCGAAGTCGTAGTCTTGAGCAGAAGCATCGGGAAGGTCGTGGCCGATTTGGGAGAAGGCGGTGGCCTGGCCCGTCATTGGCTGGTCCGGCCATTGCTCCTGGCTCGGGTCGAACTGGCCGGTCTGGGCGGAAAACATGAAGCTCGAGTGCCATGAATCATGTCCATCGGCGCCGTTTTGGCCCTGGTCAGGCCAGGGCTGCATGATGGGAGAGGAGCAGGCGACGATGCACCAAGCAGCCGAGCGGAGAGTCTAGGGCTGGCATTTGCACGTTAGTCAAGGTCGCCGCTGCCGGACAGCACTCCTACTGGGAGCCCGACCGACGCATCTGTCTCCCGGTAGCATCGCGATGCGTGGAAGCGGATGTGGCTGGAGCAGGGTGCAATGATACGGCAAGAGGGAGAGCATGTCATGAGAGGTGGTTGCAGCACGCCAAGGCGCCTTGCCTACCAGACCGGGGAAGGGATCGAGGTACTGACCGTCAAAGCTCACGTGCGCGGGAACCTCGGGCAGGCCCGCCGTTGTTAGCGGCTGAGCGTCGGCTATCTGGGCGAGGCGGACGCTAATCCGCAACGGGAAAGATGGCAGGGATTCGATGTCGCAGGATGGCTTCCAAGAGGGCCTGTAGCAGCGACCAACGAGAATATGTTAGCCTCGTGCAAAAAGCGGAAAGGGTGATGAAGAGTGGTATGCGAGCGTGGAGGAGAAATGAAGTTGACGAAAATGCCGCGACGTCCGGGCTGCCAGGGTGATGCGAGGAACATTGACGTTGGCAGGCGACGGCTGCGACCGAGAGAAAGGTGATGGTCAATCCATTTCTCAACAGACAATCGTGCCACCTGCCGCAGACAACGGCGTCAGCCCTGGAGGACGTCTCCGAATTGATGAAGGCTGGTTGAGCTGAGCTGCGATGATCAAAGGTTCTGTCGGTGCCAGATTGGGCGCGCGCATTTTGGAGGCGTTCTTCCAGCGGCCGACAAAGCCGACGCCGCCATCCCTGATTCGAACGGACTGCATCCTCGCAAACCAAAAAAAAAGAGAAAAATTTTAGGCGAAAGAAGAGAATTATATCCTCGTGATGGAGCATCCGTCACTTTTATCGCAAGACACGCCCCGTTCAAACGAGCTGTCCCAAGATATGTGATGTGCCTCCTCGCAGCCCCAAGCCGTCGAGGTCCGCCATTGGCTGGGCCATGCTGCTCGACAAACGGCCCCATTCCTTTAGTCAAAATGGCTGCCAGTCAGCTCCCCAAGCCAAGCACCTGTGTGCGGCTGAGCCCGCATTTTCATGGCCGGGCGCGTCTCATGTCGACGACAGTTCATTGCTCGTGAATGAAGGAATCACAAGATACAGTGACGCTGCTGAGCTTCATTTGGAGGTGCTGCAACGGAGCCAAAGGGTCGCAGCGACAACGTCTGAAGAGGCATATGCCAGTGGCATGGGGAGTGCTAGAAGGGGGGAGGGCATGGGTGGAAAGGGGGGGGAGGGAGGGGGGCTCAAGGTCAAAGTCATACCCAGCGACCAGAGCGCGCGTGTCCTCGCAGCAGTCTAATCCTTCTGCGCGTTTAAATGCTGCCAGGTCATGATCCCCTCTAGTCCGCCTGTTTTACAGCATGATCCGCAAAAGTAGACAGAGATGGAAGAGCGAGAGCTGAGGTGGGTGAGAGAAAGGGTGAGATGGTGAGAGAAGCAGAGGGAAGACGAGGTTGCGTGGCCGCGAGCGAGCACCGCAAATGGCGCGCCCGAGATGGCCACGTCGGCAGCGGCGGTGACGGCGGCGGCAGAGGAAGCGCTCAGCTCACGTTGTCGCGAGATTGAGGCCTGCGCCGCAGCTCGGCGGGTGCTTTATCTGGCGATGTACGGGGTCGCGGAGGTGGATGGATTGAGGCGGATGTTGATGGAGTGTCGTCGGGGCGGGAAAAGTCGAGCGTGCAGCGCAGCAGGGTGGTAGGCAGGTTGTAAAGTTAGGTCCTCCCTGTTTGGCCCAATATCTCAGGCAGCAAGCAAGGCGGCAACAAACCGCCCCAGCCCCACCCGCGGCTTATTTTAGAAGGCGAGGGCAGGACGAGCTGTACCAGGTACCAAGTACCCGCGCCGGGGCCACTGTCGGCCCGCTGCAGCGAATGAGCCCGCCCCGTGCGCGTCGGCTGTGGCAGGTGCGGGAGTCCACTGCTGGCTGAGTGGTGGGACTGCCGTGGGAGCTTCGCCGTCGACTTGGCCGTGATGATATCGTGACCTCATCCTCCTACACCCCGACAAGTGCGGGGCCTCAAGTCACTCTCCGCGCCAGCTCCTCTCTCTGTCTCTGCCGTCACAAACCCACATTGGTCTCAGGAAAAACCCCCGAAGCTTGCTGCGGTCGCCCCCCTACACTGCCTACGGCCGGCGCACGCTCCAATAGCGGGCTTTGTCTCGCCATGGCTGCCAAAGGGATCTCGCTGCGGGATCGCCAGATCGGTAGGCGGCTCGCGCATCGAAGCCTTTGTATAATCAGAAATGCTAACCATACATCTCGCAGCCTCTCTCAAAAGGATCCTCAACCTCAACGAGACGGTCGAATCCACCGAGTCCGACGAAGTCCAGGCCAACGGGCTCCTCGCGCCAGTCGCCCCCATACTCGACGCTGACGGCAACCCCATCTGGAAAGTTCTTGTTTTCGACGACCTAGGGCGCGATGTCATCAGCAGTGTCATGCGCGTCAGCGACCTGCGATCCATGGGCATAACCATGCACATGTACGTCGAACAGGCTCTCGCCATCCCGCAGCTGCGGCTCCCTCTAAACACCCAATTCTCAGGCACATCGCAAGTCCGCGCCACCCCATACCCGACGTCCCCGTCATCTATCTCCTCGAGCCGAACGAGCAGAATCTTCAAAACATCACGGGCGATCTCCAAAAGGGCCTCTACTCCCCAGCTTACATCAACTTCCTCTCCTCTCTCCCCAGAGTACTGCTGGAGGACTTTGCCACGAAAACAGCCACAGCCGGGACGTCCGATCAGATTGCGCAGCTGTTTGATCAGTACCTGAATTTCATCGTCGCCGAGCCAGATCTCTTCAGCCTGGGAATGCAGAACCAACACACGTACTGGGCCTTGAACAGCGCCAAGACGAGCGACGAGGAGCTGGATTCAGTAGTCGACAGGATAGTGAGCGGGCTATTCAGCGTCGTCGTGACCATGGGTACGTTTGCCAGATGGGAAAAACGCGCGACATGCACTGACGAGGAGCGTCTTAGGCGTGATTCCCATCATCCGCTGCCCCAAGGGCGCCGCCGCCGAGATGGTGGCCGCGCGTCTGGATCGCAAGCTCCGAGATCACATACTCAACTCCAAAGACAACCTCTTCTCTGCATCGCGGCCGACCGCCTCCTCGGGGACACCTAGCTCGCGGCCCGTTCTCATCCTCCTCGACCGAAACGTCGATTTGATACCCATGCTGTCGCACTCGTGGACCTACCAGTCGCTTGTCCATGATGTCCTCGACATGAAACTCAACCGAATCACGATAGAGACGGCCAACGATGAGGGCAACCTGGCCAAGGGCACAAGCAAGAAGTCGTACGACCTTAACGCTAACGACTTCTTTTGGGCCAAGAACGCTGGCGTCCCTTTCCCGCAAGTCGCCGAGGACATTGACGCCGAGCTGACCAAGTACAAGGAGGATACGGCCTCCATCACCAAGAAGACCGGGGTGACGGACCTGGAGGATTTGCAAAACGACACGAGCGCCAGCGCGCAGCATCTCAAGGCGGCGATAACGCTATTGCCCGAGATGAGGGAGCGCAAGAGCATCCTGGACATGCACATGAACATTTTGGCGGCACTGCTGTCGGGCATCAAGGACCGCCAGCTCGACAACTTCTTCCAGATTGAGGAGAACGTGATGAAGCCACCAAAGGCGCAGATTATGGAAATAATCAAGGACGAGGGCAAGGGGACCGAGTCACTGGACAAGCTCCGCCTGTTCATAATATGGTTCCTCAGCACCGAGCAGGAAGTCAGCCGCACCGACTTTGAGGGCTTCAGCAAGGCTCTCGAGGCGGCCGGCACCGATGTGTCGTGTCTGGCCTATGTCCGGCAGTAAGTTTCGGCGACTCGCAGCTTCTGTCCTTGGCCGTGTCGTTTGGCTGCTGACCGGGGAACAGAGTGCGGGCCACAACCAAGATGACGCAATTGACGACCATCAACAACACATCCAGCTCTAGCCAGCAAGCATCATCGTCGGATCTGTTTGGCCGCTTCTCGTCCATCTCGTCTCGCCTCACCGACCGCCTGAAGGAGACGGGCGTTCCGACTGGCTTGTCGTCGAATTTCGAATCCTTGATTAGCGGCGTCAAGAACTTCCTTCCCGCCGACAGGGATCTCACCGTGACCAAGATAGTAGAGTCCGTCATGGACCCGACGACGGCGTCATCGTCGGCCATTGCCAAGACGGAAAATTACCTGTATTTCGACCCCCGGTCAGCCAACGCTCGAGGGACGATGCCACCGCCGAGTGCGATGCGGGCCGGCGGCGGCGGCACCGCACCCGGAGGGATGCCCGGCGCGCAGATTCCGGGGCAGTCGGCGACGTTTGGGCAGCGGAGGCAAGGGTTTAGCGAGGCGGTCGTCTTCACGGTCGGCGGCGGCAGCATGGAGGAGTACGGTAACCTGCAGGAATGGGTGAGCCGGACAGGCGGAGACCGGGGCAGGAAGAGGGTCGTCTACGGGAGTACGGAGCTGGTGAATGCGGGAGAGTTCATCAGGGAGGAGCTGAAGAGGCTCGGCGATGAGCTCACGTCGGCGTGAGAGCGACGTTGAAGATGGTACACGTGGACGCACAGGGCGCCGCCACGGACCCTGGGGCTCCCGCAGGGCGACGGCTGGCGGTCTGAAACGCTGGCGCCAGCTTTGTCTTGCACAAATGAGGGTCTGATGGAGCGCATGGGTGGCTCTAGGGAAAGGGGTCGTCAAGCTTGTACGAGGCTTTGTTGGAGTCATTCATCATGTATTTGTAACTGCGCAACAAGCCGGGAGGCGCTAGAATACATGCCAACAGGTCTTGATAACAACCAGAAGCTCTTTATTCACCCCCCTTGCGTCCAATCAAACAGCCAACCGTGGCGAGCAGCACGATGAATCGTCGTCCTGGGCCGACTACCCTGCACCCCTTGCCATGCCACGGAGGTATTTACGCCAGTGCGGCAGCTCTGATCCGTCGAAGTCAACCGCTGCGATGCGTGCCTGCGTCAGGGCGGTCTGGTGCGGCGTCGTGAGGCGGCCAGCGGTTGGTTTGCTGGCCAGCCGGGTGTGGCCTTGTCGGAGACGGTCGACTTGGTTTTCCATTTTGATGTCTTTCATTTTATTCCCTGGATGATGGGACCAATCGTCCGCGGCAGCTCTCTTGTCTTGCGCTGTTTCTTGGTCCCTCCCTCGCCTGTCGCCATTCGCAAGGTGGTTTCTTGCTAATTAGTGCACCTCCACTAAAGCGGAAGCATCACTGGACCACCACCTATAGTTAACCACCAGCCGCCCTCCCGCCCGCCCGCGATGTTGCGACTCGACGCCCGTTTTCTCCCTCCCTCCATCATCCCACCTGCGCAAACCCTGCCTTCTCCCACTTCTTCCGCCCTCCGCCCACGACTGATGTCTCCCGCGCCACACCCTCGCTTCCCCCAATCGTGAGCCGTCAATCGCCGGCACCGTGCTCCAACCAGCCCTCTTCTGCTCCTTCAAGCACCTCTCCAACCCGTCTTTTCCCGAACGCATTGTCCCTTGAAAGTTGCTCGATCCCATCACCGCCGCTTGCGACGTCCCGCCAAAGAAGGCGGCGCTTTTTGCCGCAAGCTCTCCGCCGGGGCGAGCGGCAGAGAACAAGGAGGGAAAAAAAGAGGGCCAACAGCCCCATCTCCACGGCCATCATCGTCAGCATCGCAACCGCAAACACCCCCCGGTGACCAGGCCGCGAGGACTCGACACGTCGCCGCCGCTCCGTCATGGACGACTCGCCCACAAAGGCCGAGCACGGCGTCGTCGCCCCCGCCGATCGGCGCAGCAGCGGCTACAAGTCGTGGAAGAAAAAGTACCGCAAGATGCGCATCGTCTTTGACCACAAGATGCAGCAGGGCGAGGAGCTGCACAAGCGCGAGGACAAGGCCTCGGCTACGGTGAAGCGCCTGGCCGTGGAGAACGAGTGAGTCGTCGACACAACCAAGGGCCCGTTTCCGGTGCAGAGAAAAGCGTGAGCAAGGGTGCTGACCAGATGGCGCGCGCGCTTCTTTGCCACAGCCGGCTGCTCGACCTCCTCCTCGAGGTCAACAACTCGCCCCAGATCCCCCCCGAACGGCGCATCGACCTCTCCCTCGCCCCCCCCTCCAATCCCGAGGCGCCCGCCCTGCAGCTCGACCGCGGGCACGCAAAGGAGTCGGCCTTTAAGCGCCTGGAGCAGCTGCTCAGCGACGTGCCGCACTCGTCGTACAGCGCCGCAAAGGAAGCCCACTCCCCCTACATGGCCGACCTAGCCGTCCCCGAGGGCGAGGCACACCCGGCAAACTTCCTGTCCGCCGACGACGTCGACAACTACATCTACGCCGTCGATACCGCCCTCGACCCGGACTCGCACTTGCCTTCCCTTGGGCCCCGCGCTCACCCGGGCACCCACCCCGTCTCCCACCCGCATCTCAAGAACCCGACCAGCGTCACCAACTGGCTGCGCAAGCACGCCCCCAAAATCTTCCTGCAAGACAGCGAGCACGCCAGTAGTGGCGGCGCCGGTGGTGGCGGCGCCGGTGGCGACGCCGACGATGCCGAGAGCGGAGCAGCCGCGGCCTCTGCCGGCGGCGGCGCACACCACCAAACGACCGGAGGTCGCAAGTCGCGCGGCGGCACCGGCGGCGGCGGGAACGGCTCGCGCGCCGACCGCGGCAGCAAGGCGAACCCCAAGGGCAAGAGAGCCAACGCGGCGGCGTCGCGGCTCGCGGCCGAGCGCGGGCCCGCCGGCGACTGGGACGCGAGCATGGACGACGAGGGCGACTTTGCCACCACGCCCGGCGGCCGCGGCGGCAAGCGCAAGAGGGACGACGACCCCGGATACCGGCCCGGCGGGTCGACGAGTCGGCCGTCCAAGAAGAAGCGCAAGAGCGAGGGCGGCGAGTCCACGCCCAGCGCCCGCCGCTCCAAGAAGGAAAAGGACAAGGACAAGGACGCCGTCGTCAGCAAGGATGACTAGACTTGCCGTTCTTGCCACCCCCCCAAGGGGGGGAGGGCTTTTCCTCCGTTCCGGATAAGGGGGGGGACGGGAAGCCCGGAGCTTTGGTACGGAGACGACGACTGGGAAGGGAAAAAGAAAGGGAGTGAAAGAGCTAGAGCAATGTGTATGATAGCACGTTTTTTTGATCATGTCATCTGTAGCCCTCGTCGGCTTGATGCCTTGATCGTGATTTCTCGCCTAGTCTGTTCTGCTCCTTTATATCGTACCCACACCAAATACATCTGGCCGGCCTGGTATCTGAATGCGCCCTCCTCTATCACGGCTCTCCCCCGGGCCCCCTTTCGTCTACATGCCATCCCATCATGCCCTACCTTCCGCTGCATCTGGTTATACAAAACAAAGGGGGTCGAGGCCCCGCTACAGCTTCTGCTTGAGGAGGTTCTTGACGCGGCGCTCGACGGCGTCGAGGTACTGGGTAGTGGTGACGTAGTCGGAGCGCTGCTTGTTGCCGCACGCGAGGGCGAGGTCCTTGGTCATGACGCCGTCGACGTCGACGGTGTCGATGCAGGCCTGCTCGAGGCCCTCGGCAAAGGCGACGAGCTCGGGGGTGCCGTCGAGCTTGCCGCGCTGGACGAGGCCGCGGGTCCAGGCGAAGATGGAGGCGATGGGGTTGGTCGACGTCTCGTTGCCCTTTTGGTGCTCGCGGTAGTGCCGCGTCACAGTGCCGTGGGCCGCCTCGGACTCGAACGTCTTGCCGTCGGGGGTGACGAGGACCGATGTCATGAGGCCCAGGGAGCCGAAGCCCTGCGCGACAATGTCGGACTGGACGTCGCCGTCGTAGTCTGGGGGAGGGGGAGTGGGTGTCAGCAAGGCAACTCGTGGTATAAAGGGGCAAAATAGTACGGGGCCAGGAGAGGGGAAGCTGACTCTTGAGCGCCATGATGTACCCGCCGCTGCTCTTGACCATCTGGGCGACCATGTCGTCAATGAGGCGGTGCTCGTACCAGATGCCCTTGGCCTCAAAGTCCTTCTTGTAGCGCGTGTCGTAGAGGTGCTGGAAAATGTCCTTGAAGCGGCCGTCGTACTTTTTCAGGATGGTGTTCTTGGTGCTCATGTACAGGGGCAGGCCCTTGTCAATGGCCAGCTTGAAGGAGGCGTGCGCGAAGCCGGTGATGGAGTCGTCGGTGTTGTACTGCGTCTGGCCGACGCCGCCGCCGTGCTTGAAGTGGAAGACGTCGACCTCCTGGGGCTGGCCGCCCTCGGGGGTGTAGACCATGGACAGCTTGCCGGGGCCGGGGATGACGAGGTCCTTGGCGCGGTATTGGTCGCCAAAGGCGTGGCGGCCGATGATGATGGGCTTCTCCCAGCCGGGGATGAGACGGGGGATGCGGGGGATGACGATGGGCTCGCGGAAGACGGTGCCGCCGAGGACGTTGCGAATGGTGCCGTTGGGGGACAGCCACACTGAGAACGAGTTAGCTGCCAGGGTATGTGCTGATTTCTAGGTAGCAAGATAAACCCACTCTGCTTGAGATTGAACTCCTTGACGCGGGCCTCGTCGGGAGTAATGGTGGCGCACTTGACGCCGACCGAGTACTTCTTGATGGCCTCGGCGGCGTCGAGGGTGACCTGGTCGCTGGTCTGGTCGCGGTATTCGAGGCCCAAGTCATAGTACTTGAGATCGATGTCGAGGTAGGGGAAGATGAACTTGTCTTTGATGTCCTTCCAGATGACACGCGTCATCTCGTCGCCGTCGAGCTCGACGACGGGGTTCTTGACCTTGATCTTGCGGGCGGTAGCCATGGTGCGAACAGCCTGTTGCGCGAATCGGGCGGACGAGGCGGCGGCGGCGCGAGGGGCGAGACGGCGCAGCGAGGGTGCCGAGGAGGACAAGAGCCTCGCGGCGGGATTCATCATGACGCGCGGGGGCACGGGATCGCTCGAGAGCAGAGGCAGAGGCGGCCGAGGATGGGCGGGCTGCAGCGAGGGCGCGCGCGGGGCTTCTGAAGGGCAGCCTCGGGACAGACAATGGCCGTGTGGGGGGCAGCAGCAGCAGCGGCTCGGAAAAGGCGGGCTGGATTACGCCGAGGCTGTTTGGCTAGATGGTGGTGATGATGACGTTTTCCAAGGGACGGGGAGCCGGAGGAAGAAGTGTACAGTAAAAGGGCGTCGTGTCCCTCCCTGGGTGGCGTCAGTCGGTACGACAAGACACGATGCAGAGTCTGGTCGCGAGCCCAAAGTTTACTTGACGACGGTGGAGGTGGTGTTGGCATGGAGGAGGAGGCTCTCGTACCTGGATGACGTTTGATCGACGCAGAAGAAGCTCGGTTGTCGATGCAGGGTAGAAGGCAAAATGCCAGACAGTCGCAACAGCACAAGGCGAGGATTGCAGACGGCAGACGAGGGCAGGAATCGGGGCCCGAGGGGGTGAAAGGGTGCAATACGCTAGTAGAATGCGGTATTATCAACTTGCACGGCTCGTCAGTTACCGGCCGCAAAGTCGCCGAGGAGGAGGAGGAGGAGGAGGAGGAGGAGGAGGAGGAGGAGGAGGAGGAGGAGCAGTAGCAGCAGTAGCAGCAGCAGCAGCAGCAGCAGCAGCGAGTGGAGCAGCGGCGCTAATCAGCGGCCGGTGGAGCGCTGCAGGGTTGTCGTCAGGGACCGCGTGGGCCGGCATCGTTGCGTGTGTGCTCATGGTCTGGTCACGATGGATGGAGGCGGTTTGCCGTGGCATCTCACGACGCCTGTTGCCTGGTTGCGTCGGCACCCAACCTGCAGCTGCTGGGTTAGGAGAAGAATGCCCGGGGGGGGGGGGGACAGTGCCAGCACTGTACGCTGCTCCGCGGGCCGGCCAACGGGACCGTAGAGTACAGTGTGTGGGGCTGCAGACACAGTACGGCGGGCACCTTCCTGGTCGGTCTGGCGCGTGCGGAGAAAAAGACGCCGGAAGACGCTGGATTCCTTCCAGACGGCGGCTTCATGGTGTTGAAGCTGCCACCAGCCCTGCCTGTCCGCGTCCGCGACAACGCATCGGCGCTTGGCGGGTGCGCTCGGCGTCGGCCTGTGCCACCCAAGCAGCCTGCCGCTCGGCTTCTCCGTCGTATATACGAGCCTGCCGACCGACATGCGTCCTGTAATTCCTGTACAATATATCCATGGGCCGGCCGAGCCTCATTCTTGAGCCGCCCACGACGAACTTCCCGTCCCATGCCTCCGATGTCGGACGACAAGGCTTCGTCGCACGCCTCCTGCCCAGCTGAGCTGTCGCCCACCGCATGTCCGCCTCCGACAGCCACTCGTCCCACCCCGTCCCCGCCTCGTCGCCCACCTTTGCTCTGTGGATCCACCCCGTCAGGCTCGTCTCCACGCTCCGATTCCACTCGTCCGCCGTCCTGTCCGCCAGCCCCGCCCCGCCCAGTCCCCGTCGTGCGCCCGGTCCCCCCGATGCCGCGCCCCGGCCCGGTGACGACATAGGCTTTTGCCATTTTTAGTCCCATTTTTTCGGCGCATTTTCTTGGCGAAAAGAAGCTGCTGCCACGGCTGTGTAGACTTGGTGTTTTGAATTGCTCAACGCCTAATCTTCTTGTCGTGGTGAAATCGCCCTCTCGCTGTCTTGGGAGGCCCAAAAGACGATTCAAAGTCCGCCCGTTGAATGATGCCATCACTCCGTCTGCCCCAACGCGCCGCAGTCCCCCGTCGTGCGCCGAGCTTGACAAGACACCACAAACGTGCCGTCTCGACGTATTCCACATGCAGTATGCTTGTACAGAACAGCCCTCGCTCCTCGACTCGTCGCCCAAAACAGCCATTAGACGTCAAAGATGTCGCCAATGCCCTCGCCGCCGCCCCTCCGCGTGTCGACAATGTCCATCCGCCACCCCTCCCAGTGCTTCAGCGACCGCTTGATGTCCTTGATGCGCTCCAGCCGCTTCCGCGCCTCCTCCTCCTGCGCCTTGCGGAACGCCTCCTCGTCAAAGTCCATGTCGTCGTCGTCCTCCAGCAGCTCGTCCGCCTCGCCGCCGCCGCCTGCCAGCGCGTTGAGGCCGCTCGTGAGAAAGTCGCCGATGCCGCCGCCCGTCGACGCCTTCTTGTGCGCCGCCGGGTAATGCGCGCCGCCGCCTGCGCTGGCGCCGCTCGTGAGATCCACTTCCTGGAAGCCCGGCCCCACGGCCTCCATCTCGCGCCGCTTGCCGAGCCAGGCGCCGCTGTGCACCTCGTGCAGCTCCTGCTCGAGGCTGCGGATCTTGCGCTCCAGCCGGAGCCGCTCCTCATTCTCGAGCTCGTCGACCCCTTCGTCGTCGAGGCCGCCCCCTCCTTCGAGCGACTTGCGGCTCCGCAGCTTGACGTTTTCGCCCTCCAGCTTGTCCGCCTTGGCCCGCACGTCGTCGAGGTCCTTGTCCGCCTGCTCCTTGTCCTTGCGTAGCGCCTGGAGCCGCGCATCCTGCTCCTTGTGCAGCGTCGTCAGCGTCGCCACCTTCTTGTCGAGCCCCTCGGCCCGCTTCTCCGCCTCGTCCTTGGCACCTTTGAGTTCGCCGACCTCGAACTCGAGCGTCTTGACCCTCGTCTCGGCGCTGGAGCGCTCGCTGCCCTCTCGCACGGCCTTTTCCGTCGCTCGCTCGAGGTTGCGCTTGACGTCCTGCAGCTCGCGCTGCGCCTTGCCGGCCGCCGCCTCTGCGCGGGCCAGCTTCTCCTCGAGCGCCGTGACCTGCTCCCGCTCCGACGACGCGCCCGTCTCCTGGCGCTCGGCGCGGGCCTTGAGCTTGGACAGCTCAATCTCCATGGACTCGATTGTGGCCGTCTTGGAGTCGAGCTCGGCGTGGAGTTCGGACGAGGGGGTGACGGTGGACACGGAGGCGCGGTGGCCTGAGCCGCGCGAGACTTGTTGCTGGAGCTGTGCGTTTTGGCGCTGCAGGGAGGCGATTTCGCTCTTCTGTAGGCCGCGTCGGTCGGTCAGTCAAACAAACGAGCGCAGACGACTCGCCTGGACCTATGCCCCGGCCGCGATGCACGTACCAGCTTCTCGGCCTCGTCGTCGGCACCAGACTTGGCCTGGGCCGCGTCGCCGTCGCCGTCGGACAGCGCCTCCTCGGCCTTTTTCCACCTCCGCTCCGAGTCAGCAGCCTCCTTTGCCAGGCGCTTGTTCTCCCGCTCGAGCTCCTCAATGCGGGCGACGTGCTTTCTGTAGATGTCCGGCGCCGTTTCGCCGTCGGGAGTAAAGGGCCCCGGGGAGACGGCGCCCGAGACGGAGCCGACGCGGAACGAGGTGGATCGTATCTTGGACTGCTGGGCGAGCGACGGCGTGATGGGCGGGGACTTGTCGTCGTCGACGGCCACGTCGGCCGCCTTGTCGCCGGCGGATGGCTCATCTTGATTGTCTGCGCGGCCGTCGGCGGGCTCTCCGTCGTCGTCTTTGGACTCGTCCTTTTTCGTCGTGCCAATCTTCTTGCTGCCCTTTTTCTTCTTCATTTGCTCGACCTGGGTGCGGTCAGCAGGCTACGACAAGGGGCCGGGGGAAGGGGAGGGAGGAAGGGATGGCTCACGCGCTTCCTGGCGGCGGCAATCTTCTCCTGGCGGGCCTTTTCCTCGTCGTCGGCCATGGCGGAGGGTTTGACGATTGGGGCAGAACGGCAGTGGGATGAGATGCGTGCGTAGGCCGTCTTCAACGGCGAGCAGGGGGTGGATGGATGTTGCGCGAGTGGATGCGATGAGCTCCGCGGGTGCTATAGCTGCCAAGGTGGCCCTTGCGTACAGTGTTAAATGGACAGTGCGAGCTTCACAGCTCGAGACGGGCACTGTCGGTTCGAGATGCCCCCACTTCCTCGCATCTGCTATGAGCAAATGGCCTATTGGTTGGCAGAGGGCATGGGCTCCTCGGCCTAAGCCCCAGCAGCGACAGCAGTCCATAATCCATGCTCTCCTCATCCCCCGGACAGACATCTTCAACTGCTTGCCGTGGGTATCTGAGCTGAATAGAACGTCCTTCCTTGTCTCGTCAAGTGCGCAACGTCAGGCTGCTTAGAGGATCCCCAGCCCCTGTAGCAGCCTCAGCTCCATCATCGCTTTCAGGAGCATATTTAGTAGACGATGGTCCAGCCTCAGCTTCTTCTTCAGCAATTCAGCAATAGACATGGCGGTGAGGGTTCGACGGTCGATTCCGCCCTCTGGCACCACCGTTGACTCGGCCAGCACAGCCAAATAGCTTTAGCCCCCGAAGCTTTCCGTCCCCTGCTGACCTTTTCCTATTGAACCTGGCACAGCGCGTCTGCCCCTTTCCCTCCTCCTCCTCACCATCCATCGACCCTGCGCCTCGAGTCAATCCGTTTCACTCAACGCTTACATCTTCCATCTGCTATCCGGCCTGCCATCTCGCCTTCCATCGCGACGTCGAGTCAACTGTACACATTTCCCACTCCCAAGCCACCATTCTTCATCGCCATGAACTGGACCGAAGGCTCTCTCGCTCGCCACTCCAAAGCCAAACCCTTCGACGACGGCGTCGCCCGTCAGAAACGCCACTTTGCCCGCGCCCGCGCCCAACGACGACATGACTCTGGTCCTCCGCCAGCACTCCAGACTGCCGCGGCGGCAGCCCCCGACGCGTCCAGGTTTGTGCCAGATTACCTTGCCGGGGAGCTCCAGGGCCAGCTGGCCCTCGCTCCGTCCGCCGACGACGGGGACGCTTCGGCCTCCCTGAAGGAGAGGAGGGCCAGGCTGCTCGACAAGAGCGACTGGGCAGGCATTGGTCAGTCCTCTCCGCCTCGGGCTCCCACTGGCGCCGCCGTATGAGAATCTGCGTCAAACGAAACGAGCACGGCTGCCAGTCTGTCCCTCGAACTGACTCTGCCATAGAAGACCAGCCTCAGCCCTCGCAGCAGCAGCAGCAGCAGCAGCCCTCGCAGCAGCGGCAGCAGCCCCTCGCCGCCGCGCAAGAGTAGCGCTCTCCGCGTGTGCAAGACGGCTGCCGCCCCCGGGGCATCTACCCGGACCGGTATCGCGGCAGAGCCTACAGCCGCTCGCGCCCGGGGCCCCGCGGCAGCAGTCGCAAAAACAGGTTTGAGCGCACCACCGTCCCCGAATGCGTGACGGCCGGGCCCAAGGGGATGGCGGTGGCTAACAGGGGCACTCATCGTCGTCGTCCAGATCGCGACCACCAGACCCCCTCCCGAACGGTGCCGCGTCGACGTCGTCCGTTATCCGGCATCCACGGCCCCGGCGGGCCTTTGAGCGTGCCGCGGTCCTCGACATGCAGTTTCCGGTGGTTGAGGCTGTCTCGGACGAGGAGAGCCATGCCACCGACTCGCACTAAATATAGCTTGCTGGCGTCTGCAGCCTGACGATTGTCATCTCCTTGGGTCGTGCATCAAGGAATAGTTTGGATTCGAGCCGGCCACTTCTTGCACGTCCATCTGCCTGTCCATCGAGAGGGAACAGCAAGAATACAATCAGTCGACTTGTGTCCTCGACGAGTACCTGTAACGCCTTATGAATTTGCCTCCTGTAGCCCAACCCTTCCTTACGCCTCCAGTCCTTGCTCCTGAATTCACACCAAGCGACACGCCTTAACCTTCTCCATACTCCAGTCACAAACATACAACGCCTTCTAGAAACGTCCACGAGACTCAGAGCCCAAGAACCGACGACAAGAGACGGAGACACACAAAAGATGCCTTTCATACATCGAAATGAGTATACAAGATGAGGGACTGGACAAGGCCATTAGTGTTGAGCCCGTGGCTCCATCGCGGTAGATAAAAAATCGCCGAGCAACGAGAGCTTGGTGTGCACGGCCTCGACATTGTGTCAAGGCTTTTGCGGTGAAGCAAGGCCAGCCGATGCCGAATGTCCGCCTTTTCCCCTGGACACGATTTGCAGCGGGTAAGCCGTCAATCTTTCCGCCGAGCCTCTTTCCGCTTCGCCTGGCAGCATGTCCTGCAGTCGGGGCACTCATACCCACTGCGGTCGACATGGACCCTCCTCAGGCACTTGGAGCACCGCCACCAGCTCAACGATACCTGGCGATCTCCTAGCCAGCTGTTGTCCTCGCAGCTGCCGCCTCGCTTCTCAATGTCTTCCTTGTGGTATTCTCGTAGGTGATCTCGAAAGTGATCCAGCCTATGAAAAGGATCCAAGTGGCGTGAACATCGGGCATAGTCACACTTGAAGGACTCCTTGACAGAGTCCGGCGCGTGACGGTGCTTATAGTGCCGATCGAGGTCTGCGCGCCGTTTAAATGGCCTTGCGGTACAGCCGGGATGGAGACAACAGACGGGGTAGTCACGTCCGGACCGAAGACTGAAATAACCGTCAGCGAAAGTACTCGGCTTTCTGCCATGTCCCCCAGCACAACAGCAAGAGGCGGAGGGAGGGGAAGAAAAGGCCAGCTTACTGCCCGTTGTGGCGATCATCCGGATGCCCTGTTGGTGATCTGATGTCTTGTTCGGGGTCAGGGCTGTAGCTGCCGAAACAAGTCACGGGTGAAGCTGCGTGGACTTGTCTCTTCTCCATCTCTGGAGAACTAGACAGCGGTGACAAGGCATAAAAGGCGTGCTGGACATGGTCAAATATCGGTGAGGTCATGGTGGAGGATCCCGGGGTGCTTCCATCAGAGCTTGCGCCGCGTGACAGAGGCTCCGACTGGAAGCCTTGTTGAAACGACGGTGACTCGTCGCCGTTGCCGCCGCACATTTCAAATCGAGATGCCGTAATGCCCGGATCATAGAACTGGGTGTAGTTGAATTCCATGCTCCTGGGACCCACCGGACTATCCGGAGACTGCCGGCAGCGGAATACCGAGCGTTGCCAAGTTGCCGGGCTGAGTGAAACTGTTGTGTTCCGGTCACAGGGAGCGAGGTATCGTGTATCAGACAGCACCGAGATGACGGGGATTGGTCAAGTTGATCTCGGCCAATATCAAACAGGGTCAAGTCTGGAAAGAAAGAGCTTGAGGGCCGACGGATAGAAGAGAGTGGTGGTCTTTTGCAAGGCAGCAACGCGAGATGCCAGCTTGCCCTGAAGCGGATATGTATGTTCAACCGGCCGGCACGCAGAGGCCTCGTGGCGGGTCATCGGACACGGGGTAATCAGGGCTAGCACTCTGAGGCGGGAGATAGCGAAGGAAGCGGAATATCTGCCCTGGCCGCAGCAACCCCCATGCAGGAAAGAGTGCAGTTTGGAATGAGGCTCTCCGCGATCGAACCGGAGATGTAGATGCAGGCTTCTAGAAGAATTGGAACAAAGGCAGAGGCATATCCTAGGGCGGCACGATTACGAAGTCATGGACTCGACGACCAACAATGGGGACAGCCCGTCATGGCTACAGCATGTACACGAATCGGCCTAGCAGGGTGGCAGGAGAGAAGGTCGAGTTTCCCCGGGGCCACTAGGGGGCCAAGCCCATGAGCTTGAATGGGGGGGCGGGCTTGGCGGAACGAGAGTTGCAGGAAAGTGTGTGCCAGATGAGATTCTAGGCTGCCATCGAAGACCTTGTGAGCACTTGCCGGGGGTTGTACGGCGTGGCTGTTTGCCCCGTAGCGATGCCGGATGAACGAGGGGCAGGTCATCCAATAATGAGGCTAAGCGTACAAGCTGTCACGGCCAAAAGGGAGTTGCATCACGGTCCTTGCATCCTAGCGGGCATGACGCGATAAGCAGATTCGGGAGTGCGGCTCCAGGGCCAAGAGGCCAGTATCCCTCCGACAAACGGCTGTTTGCCTGGTGATGGAGTTGGGGCTGACGGCTGGATGCTGGCAAGGGTGCTGCTTGGCAGTCGACTGGGCCAGACGCAGCGCTGCGGCTGTGATTTCGGCCTCCAAGTTACCGACTGCGACAGGGGAACAGGGAGGGCTCGCGTCCAAAGCAGGCGTCTCGAAATGGGATGCAACTGCCAGAGAAGCAGTGGGCAGTACGTCATGGCAGACGCCGAGCTTCCACATTGCCGTCGAGGTGGGACGGAACGGCTTGAGCGCATCCCAGGAGCTTGGGGCGGAGCCCGGGTCAACGGCCCCACTGGATTGAGTCGCACGGCGGCGGCTTGATGGCAGCGGCTTGATGGCAGCGGCATCGAGGGTCTGGTGTCGCAAGACGACGAGGTTGGCCAAGGACAGAATGCGACGAAAACCCGACGGCATGTCCGGGGCTCTGCTGCCTTTGCGCAGATCATGAGCGGACAGACTGATTTGGCGCAGCTGACGGCCGTCGGTTGTCGCCTACTCGGGCTTGGTTGGGTGAGTTGGACAAGCCATGATGGATGGCGTCCTGCATAGCCACGGCGTGAACGCGGCTCCCATTGGTGCCTCTGGAGCCCGTCCAGCATGGAGCTCCCACCTGCCAGCTCAGCTCTTGTAGCAAAGTCGCGACGACAGAGGCCCGCAAGGTCAGCTGCGTCTCGCTTGAGACGGCAGCACGCGTAGGCCCGTAGGACAGTACGTGGGAGAGGAACGGGCTTCCGTTGAGCCTCACAGGGAGCCTGACAAGACCCTTGACCAACTCTCTCCCCCCCATGCCCCGATGCCCCCCTCCGTGCCCCCATGCAAGGCGTCGGTGGACAAGCCAAAGCACAGCCATTCCCACCGTTTGCCTAATCTGCCAGGCGGACCGTGATACCGACGCTGTCGTAGCATCACATGATTGGGCAGCTCGTGACTGCGGCATGGGCGTGGAATGCTTCCGCCCCACGAGGGCAGATGCGCGGCAGGGTTGCCGATCCGCCCACGAGAAGGCCATGCTGTCACGACGCGCAGGAGTTCGTGGCCCAGGATCGGTGCGCTTGCAGCCGCCCCCATCGCTTTCTGAGGCCCCGACCCTGTTGGCTAGAAGGATTGCCGTGCGTTGTGGAAAGCTGTGCGCGTCGGAAGAAAAATTGACGCTGCGGGTTGCGGAACGTCGTGGACGAAAAGAGTTTTCCCTCTGCTGCCATAAGCAGACCAAGACCACCGAAGCGTCGCCTGCGCCGCGCAATGCTTACGAGGCCCCGACTACAATCACGTCGATACGTCACAGATACCCGGCCTCATTTGTCAATTGTCCCGAATCGAGCACAAGTCAAACAAATGGGGTACTGCAAGGGCCAAGGTGTCGCGTGTTCTCGGCACCACCCCTTTGATCGCAAGTCAAGGTACATCTCGAGAGGCTCCCTCACACCCATCCATATGTCCATGGGTGCCCGTCTCGCGTGCAAACCATCCACAGTCCCAGTCAATGCCGCGCTCCCTCGATACAGTGCCACTTCGCCAAGGGCCCCCCTCCCCCCTGCAGAACGCCCAAGTTAAAAGGGCTCAGATGTCGTCCTCGAGAAACTTGTACGCAAACCTAAAGTCCGCTTTCCGTCGGTTCATCCTGGGCCAACATTAGCTGCCGGTTTCGGACCGTCTCGCTCGCGGCCCACTTACCATGTGCTCTCGTAGTCAAAGAACCGGTACGTGCCCTGCTCATGCTCCTCGGTGATGTTCTTGGGCTCCTCGTGGCGTTGAAACCACGTCTGGTACTGCTTGTGAAACCGCCAGCTCTGGTCCTTGAGCGCCTTGGCCGCCAGATACTGTTGGGCCGTTCCCTGCTTATAGTAAAAGACATAGAACAGCGTGTCCGGGTCTATGCGCGAATAGAGCCGCGGGTCGTCGAAGATGGGCAGCGGTTCTCGCGGGAAGCCAGACCCCGTCTGAGGCACGGGCATGTCGGGCCGATACGTTCGCGGAACCTCGGAGTCGAGCGCCTCGGGACAGCTTGCCTGGCTCGCCGTCATCATCCGCAGCGTTGGCGGGGACGCAGACGGCGGCAGCGGCCGTTTCCGCGCCGTTTCGTACGAGTCCACCAGATCCTGCAGCGACGAGGGTAGGTGGTATATGCACTCTTCCTCCGGCTCCTCGGCTATGGGCTTGATCCCGTTGGTAGCGCCGTTTGCTTGGGGCACTGGGGCCATGTTAGCATACAGTCAAGTCCGGCCGGGGCAAACGGCGACACTCACCAGTCGCAGCATCCGTAGGCTCGACCGCAGCAGGTTGCTTGCCCGCTGCTTTGGATTTTTTGGAAGGGCGGGAGCTTGAGGGCTCCGGCTCACCTGACGAAGGGCCCGACCTGGGCTCCGCCTGCTGCGACGATGCGCCCGCCGCCGCCGCCACGGCAGACGCTATGGGTTGCACCGAGGTGGTGGCTGGCGAGCTCGTCGCACTCGTCTTTGCCTGAGCCAATGGCAGTGGTGAGATGACCACGCTCGCGGACCCTGGAGGCGGCGGCAAAGGCGCGATGCCCACGTTGTTCCTGTCGCTCGCTGCAGCAGCTGCAGCAGCCGACGCATACTTGAGCCCCTCGCCCGCCGGCCTCGTCGGCACCGCAGCCGGCTTCATCGTGGGCCCGCTCGTGATGCCGGTGCTGATTGTCGACAGTGGCGTATGCAGCGTGGCCAGCGCAGGTAGGGGCGATTTGATTGGCACCGAGACTTTGCGTCCAGCTCCGCCGCCGCTACCAGAGCCAGCCGTGTCCACCTCCCTTTGCGATCTCCTCGTTGCTGGCTTGGCCGGTTGTTCTACCTCTGGCGCCGCTTCGTCCTGCACCGATTGAGTGTCGAGCGATGAGTTCTTCTCGGTGTCCTGGTTCATGCCAAACACCCCTTCGTCATCGTCCAGGTTCAAGTCGTCGTACATTTCCTCGTCGTGTATGCTCTCGTCGTGTAGACCGTCCGAGACGTAGTAGCGGATATTTTCTTCCAGTTCGTTGACCTGCTCCGTCTCGATGCCCCCGTTCTCCAGCGAGCGCCGAATCAGCTCTAGTTTTCCTTGGTGCCACTTGTGCTGCTCGATTGTCCGCTCAATCTCAGCCATGCGGTCAGCCTTGGATCCGTGATTCTTGCCTTTCTTCATGGTAGCTTGTATGGACTCGCCCTCGGCCTCCAGGGCCTCGATCTGTTGCTCCAGCTCGTCGACCATACTACTCAAGAACTCGCCGGCCTCGACTTTGGCTTGTTCCTTTGGATCGAGCTTCGCGGCGGCCGATAGTCCCTCTTTGGAGTATGCCTTGGTCTTCATAGCCTTTTCCACAGCCTTGAATTTCTCCATTTGCTAAGAGGAAGGGATTGCATGTCAGCCTATCGACGTGGACGTTTGTGGCACAAGAGACGCACCGTTTCTATCAGCTTCCGGTGCTCTAGCAAAGGCGCCTTGTCCTTGATGTCGTTGCTGGCGGCCCATGTCTTGATCTGATCGCGCAACCGTTGCAGCTTCTTGATCTCGCGCTTGAGGTTGTCCTCGAGCTTTTCCTTTTGCGCCGGGTTGTTGGACTGCTCGATTTTCTCGTAGATGGCCTCGAACTCGGCGACGCCTTCGGCCACCTTTTTGAAGCATTTGTCGACCTCTTGCTGCAGTTTCCTTGCCGCCATCTTGTGCGTGCGAGAGCTCCGAGGCCCCGCGGACTATAGGTTCGCCTCAACGGAGGAGTCTGTTGCCGGGGAGTCAGGGTCAGCAGACACGATTGAGATTGGCGCTCGGCGACCGTTGTCGCTGCGTCAAGCCGTTGCCGGGGCGCGCACCTACGTCAGTTAAGGGTCGTCGAGAGCTCGGGTCTACCGTCAGATTGGGCGTGCGCGCGTCGCTCGATAGGCGATGGAGTTGTGTTCGGTGCACGAAACGCGAGCGTCACGGTCGGTGGAGTGGAAAAGGGCCAGCTCCGGGGTTCGGGCTGCTGATGGGTTGTTTGCTGAGAGCAAGGAGCCGAATGGTTGGTGGCAGGCGGACGCATAGATGGAGAGGCTGGATAGGCAGGGGAAGGTTAGAAAAACGAGGTCGTGGCTCCCGATAAGCTAGCTGATGACAGGTATCCCTTATCTCGTCAGCGTTAGTGAGGAGGGTCAGCCGCAGATGCCACGAGCGATACCCGAGCTTGCCAGTGATTTAAAGGCCAAGGTCTCTTCTTCGGTTCAACGAAATAAGCAGAAGTTTATTCTGTGGAACTAACTGCCAGAAGGCGCGCTCGTGAGAGCCGTGCTACTCTCCGCGCCACTATCTCAAGATACCGCGAGGTAACCAGTCGCAGATAGACAATTACGGGGTGCAGCTCACATGACATCGCGTCCAAATCGACTATGAATCTCAGCTCTCCTGACAACTGCCTAGCAAACTTGACGCGCCCGCCCTTTTCGGACCGTCTAAGCGCTCAATTGGCCGACGCCGTCTCATCCAACGACAAGCTGCATCTGCAGGACCAGCACTGTCGTTGATCAGGGGCTGGCGCTTGACCTCGAAATGAAAGGTCTGGGCCCTTTTGGCGCCTGCGAAGCGCATGACCCCCTAGCTGACGTGCGTGAGAGCAGCCATCATTCAGCGTGTCCTGTCGGCATCTGTGACAGTCAACAAGGAACTTGTCTCGTCCATTGGGCGGGGTGTTCTTGTCTTTGCCGCCGTCGCGCCAGGAGACACGGAGAAGGAAGTCGAGTCGATGGCGTCCAAAGTCCTGAGGATGAAGCTGTGGGACGACGAGGCAGGCAACAGGGTATTTCGCGACTCTGGTTTGCTGCCACGTGCTACGGTCGGGGAGAAGGAATGTGCTGACGAAAAGAAACCAGTGGAAGCAGAGCGTGACCGATATCGAGGGAGAGGTGCTGTGCGGTACGCCCCCTCCCCAGACAACAAACATGTCAATCTACGAATAGACATCCCATTCAAGGCAGTCTGACAGATGACTTTGTTGCGGCAAGTGTCTCAGTTCACGCTGCTGGCAAAGACGAAAAAGGGGACCAAGCCTGATTTCCACGGGGCCATGAACCCAGACGAAGCCAAGCGACTCTACCACTGCTTGTGCAGAGAATCAAGGACGGATACGTCGGGGAGAGAGTCAAAGACGGCAAGTTCCAGGCCATGATGGAGGTTGCGCTGGTAAACGACGGACCGGTGAGTCTCAGGAGTCAGGAGGGAGCTGCCGGCCTGCTAACGGCGGCCGATAGGTGACACTGGAACTTCAAGCCGGGGCTAGCAAGGCTCCGGGGGAGACATGACGGCGCGGGCGGGCGCCGAAGACAAAGCCGACTCGGGGCTCGTGGCGTGGCTGGCGTGTGCGCGGCTGTCTCAATCCGATCTGACCACGTACTTGGGCCATTACCCGAGAGGGCCCAGACGCCATGCTGGATGCATGATGCGAACCCGGGGGGCAGTTGCAGTCGAGACTCGGTGAATCGACCATGGCAGCATGCATTGCTGAGGCTCGCCGGCCGCCGACAGCCAGCATCCGGATACGTGGGCGCGGGAGCTTGGAGCTGAGAAGAGACTTGCTGCAAGCCTTTGGGCGTTAGCGCGGGACGGACTCTCGAGGTGAGAGGCCGTCCCTGGAATAGGTTGCTTTGTAAGTCGCAAGCGGCCTTGGCAAGTACCCTGTCCAGCCAAACAGGTACCTCGCGGGCCCTTGCGGAGCAGGGCAGCTAGAAACTTCTACGAACCCCACCACGGCTCGTCGAGAACATGCTAAAGAGGACGATCCGCTTCCCCCATCGCCAATGGCATCTCTCCCGCCGCATCAACCCTCTCGTGCCTGACGCTGTTGTCTCTTTTCCCACTCAGCCAAGCTCGTCCTCCCGCCTCTCCGCTCCTTCGCTTACAGTACGGCCCTCTCAAGGTCCGATCCGGCAACTGGGTAACCCCGCATCCAGTCGCTGCTTCGTCCTACCTACCCTTTGAAGCCTCGCGCGCCACAGACAAACAACTGCGGATTGGACCGTCTGGCTATACGCGGCACTCGACGCTTTCCCATCTTCCGCCCTCGTCGATTCACTCGTCGTCACCAACATCACAGTTGACCTCGCAACAGCCGCTCGCCATGGCATCCGAGTCTGACAACAAGGCCCGTCCGCGCGTCTTCTTCGACGTCACCATTGGCGGCAAGCCGGCCGGCCGCGTCACAATGGAGCTCTATTCCGACCTCGTCCCCAAGACCGTCGAAAACTTTCGCTGCCTCTGCACGGGCGAAAAGGGCCTTGGCAAGTCCGGCAAGCCCCTGCACTACAAGGGCTCCGTCTTCCACCGCGTCATCAAGCAGTTCATGATCCAGGTAGGCGGCGCTCACGCTTCCCCTTGCGCCTGAGAAATGGTAAACTCAATGCTCATTCCATTGGCCTCGCTCAGGGCGGTGATTTTACAGCCGGTGACGGCACTGGCGGCGAGTCCATCTACGGTGCCAAGTTTGAAGACGAGGCCTTTCCCCTGAAGCACGAGAAGCCTTTCCTGCTGTCCATGGCAAATGCTGGCCCCAGTAAGTAGACCCTCTCGGCCCTCTTTCAGTCATCACCTGGCACCCTCATCCCGCCAATTGGAGACTGTTTGGATTATAGTTGACAACCCCTTTGCCAGACACGAATGGCTCTCAGTTCTTCGTCACGACCGTCCCCACCCCTCACCTCGATGGCAAGCATGTCGTCTTCGGCGAGGTCCTGAACGGCAAGTCGGTCGTCCGCCAGGTCGAAAACCTTCCCACCCAGTCAGGCGACAAGCCCGTCAAGGAGGCCGTCATTGCCGACTGTGGCGAGCTCACCGGAGACGCCGCCCTGGCCGCTGACGTGAAGCAGCCCGATGCCATGGGCGATCCGTACGAGGACTTTCCTGAGGACTGCAGCGAGGAGCTCGACGCCCAGAAGATCCTCAAGATTGCCACCGCGTGCAAGGACTTTGGCAACAAGGCCTTCAAGGCCGGCGACGTCAACCTGGGACTCGACAAGTACGAAAAGGGCCTGCGTTACTTGAACGAAGACCCCGACCTGGACGACGAGCCGCCCACCACCAAACAGACTCTCGACGCCCTGCGCTTCTCGCTGAACAACAACGCAGCCCTGCTGAGCATCAAGCAAGAAGCCTGGGACGATGCCGTCCGGTATGCGACGTCGGCGCTCGCCGTGGCGGGCACCTCGGACGCGGACCGTGCAAAGGCCTACTACCGCCGCGGCTTCGCTCACGTACGGGCCAAGGACGAGGAGAGCGCCCTCAAGGACCTCGACGAGGCGCACCGCCTGGCTCCCAACGACGGCGTCGTCGTCAACGAGCTCAGCGCCGTCAAGGCCAAGGCGTCTGCGCGCGCCGCCAAGGAGAAGGCCGCGTACAAGAAGTTCTTTACTTGAGAAGAGGGTCCATCTGACTGGCCCTTCCCCCTTCCCCCGCCGAGGGCAGAGGAATTTCTGTGTGTCATTTTGCTCATGTATTGGCAGCATAGCGTGGGACTGGGCTTTACATACGGCATGGATGGCTGGATTTGCCTTTTTCCGCTGAGAAGCGGCCCAGGTAGAGCTGCGGTGTAGCAAATCGGTAGACAGACGACGATGAATGAGACGAGGATTGATGCCCACCGCGAGTCGTCACCCGACGTGCATGTCTTTCCTGGCACAAGGCCTGTTGTTCGGAACTGAGCGTGGCTGAATGGAGTTTGACTGAGAGTTACGCCGTCGGCCATGGTATATAGTCCAACACGCGCCACGACCCTTCTCATGCTCGCCGAGGCAGCCTCTCGGCCGCCGACGGCAATGCGGGCGGCGCTGCTATGTACATTCCTTCGTGCTCCTAAATTTGTCCTGGCTCCCCCGGAATTCTCCTCTCTCACCTCCCAAGTTCCTCCATAGGTATCCATCGCCACTCCTCGCGTCGTGTAATCTACCCCAAGCCATCTTGGGCACAATAACTCCTCTCCAACCAGAGAAGGGGCCCAAAACTTTTCGAATGACGTAAGTGGGTAATGAGTAGAAAAGAGAAGGGGGAAAGAAGAAAGGGATCAAAAATGAAAGAATGAAGCAAAACCGCTACCAACGCACCAGCCCCGGGCGCTTCCCCAGAGCGCCGCGACCCGGCGGCCCGACCCCTGCCTCGCGTCTCACTTCTGCTGCTTCGAGTCTGGGCTCTCGGCCCTCCCGCCGATCCTCATGATGCCGCTGAGAATGGTCCTCCCCACCTTTCCGTTCCTCCCCTTGATGGTGTTGCCGCCGCCCCCTGTGCTGCCTGTCTTCTTGCTCTCCAAGCTGCTGGCTTCCCTGCCGGCGCGGTACTCCTTGCTGTGACGCTGCGCCGCGAAGCGATCCCCGAGCCCGTCGCTTCCCGAGCTGCCGGGCGGCCTGATGGCGTCGATGGCCACCGCCAGCGAGTGGGGATTGCTCAGAGACTCGATGAGGGTGGCCTGCTCGAGGGATTCCGCGAGCTGCTCGGCACCGCCTGAGACGGAATCGATGGCCCGCGAGTGCTCTGCCCTGGCGAGACAGGCGTCGGAGCGCCTCTGAAGGGCGTTGCAGAGATCGTGAAAGGTGGCGAGAAGCTCTCCGTCGTCGAAGATCTGCCCCCTCTTGACGTCTGGCGGACATGAGTCGACCCATAGCTTAACCAGGCTCGCGAAGCTCCTGGCCTGGTCGATTAGGTACGGCAAGCTAGGAAACCCCTCTCGCGCCGCCGGACCCAGTCGTCCCAGCATCGTGACCGGTGTGCTGTAGCTTGCGGGTACACTCCTGACGCCGTCCCTTTCCGTCGGGATCCCGCACACCCGGTCAATGTACTCCCGGAAGATGGGCCGCTGTGCGCTGAGAAACTTGTTCATCGGCTCCATCCATTCTTCCCGTTTGCCGAACACGGACATGTTGGACATTTTTTGCAGGACCTTGGCAATGAGGGTAAGGGTGCGCTGGGCGCGCGGCCGAGGGTGGTCTCTCAGGAGCCCAAACAGCTTGGGCGACAGGATGGCCGGGCAGATGAAGCGCAAGAACAAAAAACCGGAAACGGCTGTGTACTTGACGGTCCGCAGAAAGTCTCCGTACCGGTCCTCTGCCACGGCCCGGATATATTTGAGAATCTGACGCAGCTCCGCCGGGAGACGGTCGGCCGAGTCGGCGACGCGGTGCCACACCTCGGTGGTCAGGAGGATGAGCCGGTTCCAGCGCTGATCCATGTCTGCGGCGACGGCGTGGTGATGGTGATGATAATGCTGGAGGTGCGGCAGCCGGCTCGGGTCCACCTCGCAGTCTGGATCGAGCTCGTTGAGCTCTACAATCTTGTCGCGCAGCACCTCGTCCAGATACTCGGTGCCCAGCCGCCTCATGTGAAACTCGAGCGACTGCGTCAACAACGTGTTGCCCCGAAAGAGCAGATTTGCCTCGCCTGCAAGTGATTTCGACATGTCTCGCACGAGGAGCTCGCGGTCTGTATTCGAGGACGAGGGCGGAGGATTCGTAGTGGTCATCGGCGCGGAGAAGGCAGCAAGCGACTCGGTCGACTCAGTCGACTTGAGGCGGCTGCTAAACCTGAACTTCTTGATGGACGCCTGACTTCCTATGCCATCAATTTCGTCCTCCACCAAGGCCATGAGCCAGTCGCTCGCCGACCCCGATGCTTGGAATATGTCCAGAAAGGTCTCGGAGAGGCGGCGTAGCTGTCCCGGCAGCGCCGCAGATATCATGGTCGTGAGGCCGGTGGAGAATCGGTGAAGGAGGTCTGAGAGTGGCCTGTACTCCTTGGTGAGGAGCGCAACGTGCTCGGCGTGCCAGATCTTGACTAGCATCGAGCCGATGGGTTGCTGCCTGTCGTCCAATATCTGCAACCATTCCTCATGGTCCTTTCCGCGCTCGAGCCGGTCTAGTATGATGTTGACCGAGCCGCAAACGAGCTCCTCCTGAGCAGTTCCGCCATCGTCCGCGCTCGTCTTTCTCGTCGAAGCCTCAGCGCTGCAATGGTTATTGGTCACTTCCACCAACCGCTTCAGCACAATTGTCAAATCCCGCACGCTGGGGGGCAAATCGACAAACTCGCAATCCTCTCTCCAGAACGGATTCTTGGTATCTGTCCGCGTCGTCGTTCGTGCCCGCACCTCGCCATCGAGGATAACCTCTGCCAGGTAGCTACCCACCAACGGATCTGCCTGCTCGCTCTTGCCGGCCCTTTCGGGCGCCGTGGATTCAGGTTCTGCGGCCTGTCGAGCTCGTATCTTTGCCTCGGTCACCCTAACGCCGACAGTTCTTTCAATCCGAAAAGTCTCTTCGTCTTGTTCCGATTCCAACTCTGTGAGTCCTTGAGCCGAGTACTCGTTGTCAGAGCCGTCCAGCTTGTGGATTTCGGGCACTGCAATGGCGCGCAGCAGCACAAACCAGACCTCAAAGGCGACGCGGCTGTCGAGGGCGAGATAGACCGGTCGAAATATGGACAGCTGGGTCGACGATTGTGCATATATGGGAAAGATGGCTATGCAAAACTCCTGATCCAAGACAGTGTGGTCGAGTTGCTGGATGGAGTGGCGCGATAGCTTGGATAGCTGGATTACACATAGCACCGATATGTCGTTTTCCATAAGCAGCCGGAACTCGCCGTCCTCGTGAAGGATGCACGAAACCTTCCTCCACGACGCGACCGGCGGCGACCGCTTATCTCTCGTCGATGGTCGATGGACGACCTCCCATGGCGTTGCCACCGGCCCCTTGTCCCACAGCATGACGGTACCCACTTTGATGATGTTGGAGCTACGCCCGCCGTCCAGAGAAGAGGCAGACTGTCCCTGTCTTCGCAGACCCGGCCTTTGTGTGACAGTAGGATAGCTGTTGGTGGTGGTGGTGGATGACGGGCTGTTGTTGCCGTTGGCCATCCTCATCCCGGCAGGCTGAATCTGTTGCCAGCAAAGTAGGGCCGCGAGCCACAGATTCCAATCGTCCGAGGCAAGAGGCCGCAGCAACACTATAATGGCCTCTCCGGAGTGTTGTTTCTGCAACGCGACGACTTCGAGGCACGCCTTGCCAGACTCGGGGTATTCCACCGGCAAGACCCTGCAGCCACGAAGGTCCGGAACAAGTGTCGTGAAGGCGGACATGCTGGTGCCCTGGTGTCCAGAGTGACACATGAGGCAGCCATTATCATCGTCAATATATGCGAATCCGGCGTACCAAGTCCCTCCGGCGTCGACCTCGCACTCGATCTCGCCGCGCATCCTCCCGGCCAGGGCCTTCATCAGCGAGATTATCCGGGCAGGTTCTCCGGTGGCGACGGGGATGGAAAGTGAGTCGACCGAGGCCATTGCGGGCGCCTCGGGCGACGATGGACGGGAGGACAGCCGCCTCAGTAGTCGTCTATTGGATGAGGCTGATTTCTTCTCCTTTGTCTTGCTCGACGGCGCTAGCGTCTCGGTATGCCTGTGAGCGGGCATGGGCGGGTAGCCCACGGGGTCGGAATCCGACATTGTGGTAGGCGGCGTGGACTTTTGCGGTTCATCGTGTGGCATAGGCTGCGACCCTGAAGAGCTGACGCTGCCTATTCTGTGCCGCTGCCTATCGGGCACAGGCGGCGCGCCCCTGTGCGTGAGCAGCCCCGCATCCATTGTCCGCGTCCTAGGCCTCGTGCTTCCACTGGCCCGTATGTGCTGGTAACGCTGATACTGCTGCTGCTGCTGCTGCTGCTGTGCTTGTGCTGGCGATGAGGCTGGCATTCGGCTCGAGTCTGCGCTCTCGTGCGACTCACCAAGCGAATCGCCGAATACGACTCCCTGCCGCCTCCGCCCTCCGCCGAAAATGGCCATTGGCGAGCCTTGCTGAGAGGGCGAGCCGGCATCGCGGGGTATGGGCAGCGGCGACGCAGCCGAGCCTTGAGAAAAAGCAGCTGCTCCGAACCTCCGGCCTTCGGCGAAGTCTGGTGCGACGGCCTGGGGCGTGCCGCTTGAGTCGGCATTGTATCTGAAGGCGGGCCTGGCGAGACTCGCTGCCGGGTTCCGCCGAAGCTCGAGGGGTGATGAGCTGTGCCGACCTGGCACTTGAGGTGGGTGGCCCCTGGGCTGGGACGGCTGCTGGCGCTGATGTTGGCGAGGCCAAATTGTCGCTTCGCTACCGCCGCTCTCTGAGAGGGTGGCCGAGGCTTGTCCTTCCATTCCTATTGACGGTGACATGCTCATGCCATGGCTTGCCCACATCCACGCCCACGCACCACATTGAGAGCCTTTGCCTCCGTTTCGCTTCGTGCTGTAATGTCTCGGAAAAGGAAAGGGGAGGCCGTTCGGATGGAATCGCGCGGGTTCGCGGCGTCGTGTTTCCTTGACTACTCTCTCAGAGTATTATGTGGCGGTATTCGGCGCCGTTGTTGGACCTGGAAGCTCCAAACGAGTGTATTTGGCAGCCAGCCTGCCTTGCTACGACTTTTTGAGGCAGCGAATTCTTTGCTTTGGCTGTACTTTTGGCGTATCGAGTGACGGCGACGAGCTGCGTGCACATTGGCAGACTGGGCTATGCCGGGGCTAGCCAGGATATCGTAGCAAGAGCCGGAAACGAGAGAAAAACGCGTTCTGGGCAGGCAGCGAGCGAGGCCGCACCCACTCGGTGACCAGGATGCCCGCAGCAGGTATCGATTCGACTGGCGCCCAAAACTGCGCATGAAGTGATGACCTGCAGGGAACTGATCACTCCGACGAAGGTACGCAACGAGAGCCCGACGAATGGCCGGGAGTCGTGCCGCCTCTTGTTAGCTCAATCGAGGCCGTTTCTGTGTTTCCGAACTAAGTCGCCAGCTTCGGAACACGCCTGTTGATCCGATATAGGCCGTGTCAAGATGCCTCAGCGAGGTTGCGTGCGTGGCAGCGCTGGGCCGGGCGAGCTCACGATGGCAGATGGAAAGCGGGGAAATAGTGTGTTGTTGTCTCTGGAGGACGGCGGTGATGGCGGTGAGTCGCGAGCGTCGTCGACCATCGAGTCCCGTCGACGAGTCAGTCAAGCCAAGAGCGGGTCGAGGTGGTTGACGCCAGCAAACAAAGAGACGACAGGGTTCGAGGAATTGTTCCGCACAGGCGCTCCAATAGCAGGCGGCGGAGGTCGTTGAGCAACAAACGGGGCACGGCAGGTTCTGGGAGCGGTCACCGTCAGGGTGAAGAGGCCATGGAGTCGCGAGCAGACGACGATGGAGGGCAAAGGGGCGACGGAGCGAATGCTTTCTGGGAGAGAGACAAAGAGAGAGAGACTCGATATTAATTACCCAGGTACCTTAACTGTTAAAGTACCACGGTCAGGTACTATTTGGCTCCCACGGTGGGCAAAAAGATGCGGTGGGCCAACAGCAGCGTCCGATGCAACTGCAGAAGCTCTCAGCAGGCCCGCAAGCTCCAGCACGCGTCCTACCCGGCAGCTCGTAGTAACTTTCTGCTTCTCTCTCCGCGCTCTTGCCCTGTCCGATACGAGACGAACGAGGACAAGAGCGTCAGCAATTGTGCTTGTCTTTGCCGTGAGATTGCATCAGAGTGCTGTAAAACAGGCCGATCTGCGCAAGCCAGAATTAGTACTAACTGGCTGGTAGTACCCCGCCTTCTACAGCGGTACTTAAAGGCGAGCTATCGTGGGTACCCAATGTGACCGAGTACCCGACACGGGGCGGAAGCTGGCCGTCTGCCCTGCGCCGCCCTGACTAAAGCACGGTACCTGCTCAAGCAGAGTACAGAGAGCCGAGGTACCTTGCATGATTGAGTACAGTACCTACGCCGACAGCGGTTGCTAGCGGCCGCGATGTCCTCGCTGAGAACCACTAGCGGCCGCTGTGAAGACGCGACACCCCCTCTCGTCCTTGGTGTTCCTTGGTGCTCACCGTCCAGTCAGTCCCGTTTCACCCCCATACCACGGAAGGCTAGCCTCTGGCCGCGCTGGCATGGCAGGGGGGCTCTTTGTGCTGCAACTCAAACCCCCGCAACAGGAGTAACCAGCCGCGAGACCCTGACGGCTCTGGAGCAGGGCTCAAGAGGGGAAACGCACGACGGAATGATCATCCTGGGCGGTTAGGAGAGTCAAGGAAAAAGAAAGCACAGACGAGGAAAAAGAACGCAAACCGGAACAAAAGAGAAGGTGGCCAAGGCTCATGCCCAGCCTCATGAGCCTTGGCCACCCACGCAGCCCCGACGTCATGACAACACAACGGATGGATGAGCGGAGTCCCGCCCGTTAAGAATTTATCCGTAGGCAAAAGTCAAAAGGGCACAGATATTGCATCAGATCCAGGATGGAGATTTGCTTGGTTTCCCATGTTTGCAAAAGGCCAGAGGCACAAGTTAGCGCAGGACCAGAGGAGCAGATGCAAAGTATAACAGCCCAATGTCTGGAATGGTCCCGCTTCAAATGTAATCTCGCCCCCTCACTCTCCTTCCCCCCCCACTTGATCGGAATGGGGCTTCGTCATTGGAAAAATAATCGAAAAAGGAAGTCGGGCGGAGTATATCTGTGTACATGCCTATGTACTGGGATCCGAGGGCGGGAACAGCCGCGCAATATCGTGGTGGCGTCGGACAGCGTCTTGGCTGAAGTCGACGTTGATTGCTTACCGCACCCTCCTCCAATCGCACGTCACGGCCTCAGCTCCGGGACATTTCTTATCCATCTTCTTTGCTCCGAATTACAAAAGCCACAGCCAGGTCGAGCGGTCTCGGAGCACGCACACACACGCACGGTCGGCAATGATGAACATCTCGGCCGCCCCCAGCTAAAAGACAAGACAACCCATCTTGCCCGTCTCGAGAGTTGTCCTCCATCATCTCATTTCATCTCTCTGCCGCACCCACAGCCCACCGCCGGCTCCAAGAAATCAGCTCGTAGCCAAGCGCTCTCTGCCCACCAGCCCGCGGGACAACTGCGGAACGCTCCCCCCTCCTCGCGACAAACGCGGGCCCCGAAACAGATCCTCGTGCCCTCTGCCGCCTCCGATCCTGCATGTCTCATCGGAGAGGGGGGGCGGCCGGCCGAGTCTGCATGCACATTTTCTCGCTCCAATGGGCGTCAACGGAGTTCAAGGGGACAACGTTTGCATGGCGGAGGGCATAGCATTGCACCGACCAACAGCTGTCTGCGAGATCTGAGACCTCTTCAATCTCGGAACCGTAGCCGGGCGGCCCTCGTCCAGCGGCCCAGTCAGGCTTCTCGTTGTCGAGGTCATGGCCGAATGAGAAGCGGTCGCGTCGAGGCGCCGAACCGCGCATGAATGTGGCCACGCCACCGCATAAACGCCTTGCAAAGCATCGACTCACGCTCAAGCCCGCGCCCATCAAGCACTACCAAGGTCTCATATTGGGCAAACCTCGAGGCCGGCACATGGCGTCGTCTTTGTCCATGCGACAGTCAACGCTTTGAATCCGTACACTGCCTAAAACTTGCCCCTATGCTTTTGGCTTCTCCCTCCCTGCAGCACTCTCCAGCCCAAGCAAGGCTTGATGGAAGCAGAGTAAACACATGGCCCACCGGCACCTCCGTCGCAGTGTTCAACCGAGAGACTCCGACCCAGCAACGCTCCCCCGTGGTTTACGGGTTTCATGTAGATGCACGCTGTCGCCCATGTCGAACAAGGGACGGGGGAAACGAGGAAAAAGACGCAAGTGCGTGTGATAGTGCATGCTTGCGTGTGCGTAGTTTTGTAGATTCAACGACGCCGGGTGCCGCCGGCTCTTCCAACTCCCTATTGCCAAACCAAAGCATCTGTAAGGCCCTGATACATTCATGCCATATCACAAACGGGAACCGAGAAAAAGATGGGAAAGAGAGAACAAAAGACAATAATCCTCCTGGGACTTGGTCACAATGAAGGGGTAACGAGAGACGGGAAGATAAGATCAGGCCAACGGAGAAGAACTAGCATGCGGTTGTCTAGTGGTAACAGAAGGCAAGGGGCCCTCCGTGCAAGCAACAAAACAGCCGAGGGGAAAGAAGCAAGCGCTGCTTCTCGATTTGCCTAGCGCGACACGGGCCCTTCGATTGGACTGGTCGGCATGCTCCGGACGTTGCTAAGGTCTGAGCTTCCCGTTCGCCTCAGAGCCTGCCTCATAGTTTCAATGTTCAAGTCGTTGGTCGGGGCTGTCAGGTTGAGCTGACCGCCGCTGCTCGGACTTGTCACCGGCTTGCGCAAGGGACTAAGGTCGACGCCCTTCATGCTTCCGGGGTTGCTCGTCGGTGGGCTAGTGCCGGGTCCTTGGCTAGATACGGGCGACCGGATTGGCGACGGAGAGCGGTTCAGCGCCGCCGAGGGAATCGAGGTGAGGCCGGCCAAGTGGATGCTGTCCCGGGACTCGGCCGTGCCAGCGTGACCAGTGTGCTCGGCCTGGACGACGTCGGCAAAGGAGATAAAGGATAGCCGGCGTACATCGGCAGAGTCGAGCGAGCCATAGTTGGAGGCATTGTCGGGCGGCGGCAGGCCCACGCGATCTGCAAACGAGGCCAGCTCGGCGGCCCACTCGCTCGACGTCTGGTCAAAGGGGGTGCTGCTGCCGCCCACCGCCCCGCTCGTCCCTGTCACAGTCACCGACGCCGGCTGGTGCAAGGTGTGGGTGACGATCTCGACAGCGTCGGGGTTCAGCTTTTCGTTGGTGATGGCCTCGGAAGCGTCGTCAAGCACGGGGGGTATGTAGTTTTCCGTCTGGATGTGCGTCGGGATCGCGGGCGAGCTGGGTTTGAGCACGGTGCTGTCCTGGACGTCTCGCTCGAAGATTTGGGAGCCGGCCGGGGAAGACACGCGAGGCGATGTCGACAGCGCCCGAGTCGGAGAGGAAGGGATGACGAAAGGCCCGGGCTCACTTTGGGTGGTGGCCGCGGTTGCGTTGGTGATTTGGGTGGGTGATGAGGTCGCCTGCGACGTTGACGAAAGCCTCGAGGCGTCCCTCGACAGAGACGGGGGCTCGGCGCTGGAAGCTGACCGGAACGAGGTTTCTGCCTTTTTCTTGCCGAAGCCAAAGAGGCTTCGTTTCTTGCTCTTTCCATTCTTCCTGCCGTCGTCTGTCCGAGACTCTGGCCCTGCTGCGTCGGCTGTTCGAGGCGCCGTCGAGTCGCCATAGCCAGCGCTGTCCGACAGGCTCTTGCTGGGCGAGTACATCTGGCCGCTCTTGAGCGACGGTGCCTCGGCGAGACTCATTGTCGATGAGTGTGCGTCGCGGGACAGCCGTTTCCTGGCCAAGAGCTCTCGGGGGGGTCAAGCTAGGCCGAGGGCTGCGTTCTGGTTGTGTCCACAAGCAATCGAGCTGCCTGGACATGAAGCACGGGGGTGGACGAATTTTTTTTTTCCCCTTGCAGAGAAAAAAGAGGAGAGTCGAAAATGTCGGGGGTTGGAGGTACCCTAGCAAGCTGGTGAGCAGACGAGTTCACGTAGCCATTCGCCGCTGCCGTGCCGTGTCATGGGAAGAGCGAGAGCGAGGCGGCGTTGAGGAAGGAACAGGCATTGTTGACGTACCTGATGTCGGGGAAGGATAAGTGGGGGGGGTGGAGGAAGGAGGGGGGACGGCGCCTGACACACGATGGGGTCTTGGAGCGCGCTGCCTTCTCGGTTGTCACCGTTCAACTGCGGTACCTTGGACCACGGCGCAAGCCGCTGGTTCTCACCCCTGTTGCTGACACCCGAGGGGGAAAAAGTGGAAGAGGCGAGGAGAGGTCCGTCCGGCTTGCAACCATGCCTAGGCCACGGGATGGGCGAGGAGAAGGAAAATACGTACTGTATGCTGCGGTGAGCGGTACAAGGCGCCAACAGAGGGGGCGCTGTCCGTGGGGTTTACGGTCCTGTACCTGGTGTGTCACGCAGACTCGCAGACTCGCAGGGGACGCAAGAGGCCAGAGGGACACAGGAAGGCCATGAAAGAGGCAGATGGTCGTGCGAGGAGAGTGGCGAGCAGAGGGCGAGCAGAGATGTGACTACCACTACATACATACAGCCCATCCATCCATTGTCTGATGCTGCAATTCAAAGGTATGCGGCACAGGGCTCTGCTCCAATGAGCCAAGACAGGTGGGCGCCTTGCTGGATGGACAGGTGACGATGCCTGCCCACCCTGAGCGGCCAGCCTCTCTGCCCTTGGATTTGCTGCTCCGTGCCAGCTCCGACTCGAAACACTTGCTTGACTTGCAGGCCAAGCATCGTGCACCACCCTCTGCATCACCTGATTCGGCGCCTTTGTGCCGCTTACATCGAGCCACATACAGCATCACGGGAGCCGTGTAGTGTGAGGCATGCACGTCACACACACACCCAACGACTCCTCCGAGACGGGCTGCCCCGGCATAGGGTCCGCGTCGCCAGTCTGTCGCACATCGTGGCCATGTTGTTGTTTGGTTTCAAGACAGGCAGGGCGGTTGGAAGATGCGACACAAGACACCGCAGCGCCAGAATTCTCGTCCGCCCTCTGCCCTCTTTCCCTTCACCGATAGATACCCTGCGGCCGGTTCTCACGCAGTGTTGGGTCCTCGTGATGACTCTTGGGTGTACCCCTCCTGCCTGCAGCCAACGAGGCCCTAAAGGGCCCCTCTCCTCCCGATGATAAACGCAAGCATGCCAAGCAGCGGCGTTTTGCGCATGATATCACAAAGTTGGGTCTCCGGCCTTCGGGCTGAACGCAGTGATTGTCATCCATTCCGCTTGCTTTGCTTGGCGACTCGCATTCGTCTTCTTCTCGTCCAGCCCCTCATTCGCCATCTTTTCGGGGCTCGGTTTCACAGGCCACCCTCGAAACAAGTGCACACGTCAGCAAAAGGCGGATCGCCAAGTCCCGTGTTGTGTTTCTTTTGCAGGTGTCGTGCACGAAGTAGTCTCCGTGCACTGCAGTATCACGTGATTTACGCACCCTGGACCCTGTCAATTACGTAAGCAGATTGGAGTGCCCTGGAAAATCTTCCTCTCGACAACGCCCGAAGCAAGGTCTACGAGAGGCACGACGCAGGATACACCGATTCGCCTGTCTAGCCGCTCATCAATCACAAGAGGTGAAGCTGGCACGACTCAACGCAACCCGATAACCCCGGTTTTCGTTTGCTGTGCTTAAGCCCCCCAATTGTTGTCTCCGCGCCCGTGGCGAGGCATGGAGCTGCGGTCTCTGATCCGCCCGGCGGCCCAGCTGCTCGCTGCCGCCTCTCGCCGCCCAGCCTTCCTCTCCCTCTGCTCTGCCCGCGGACACAAGACGACGGCCCGGACGAAGCGCGCGCTCAAGATCGCTCCGCACCCCTCCTTCCTCCCCGACCGATCCGCCGCCTTCCCCGCCGCCGACTCCATCATCTACAACCCGCCCGAGGCCGAGGCCTCGCCCTACCACACGCCCTTTATCTTCCTTCCCCCCGAAGACCCCCGGCGGCAGGCTATCCTCGAAGCCCGGCGGGACAGCAGCAGCAGCAGCGACGCGCAGCAACCGGCGACGTCGACATCGTCCGCCGACGCCGATCTGCCCCCGGCCATGCGGTACCACCGCCGCGAGCCGCGCTACCACCTCAAGGAGGAGGATGTGGCCGAGATGCGGCGCCTACGCCTCGCCGACCCCGTGCAGTGGAGCGTCGGCCACCTCGCCCAAAAGTTCGACTGCTCGCCCATCTTTGTCCGCATGGTGGCGCCCGCCCCGCCGGGCCACATCGAGTGGCTCGAAGGGAAGCTGGAACGCAAGATGGCGCGCTGGGGGCCCAAGAAGAGGCAGGCGAGGGAGGACCGCAAAAGGCGGGCCGAAATGATGTACCGCGGCGAGCTGTGACTCGGTGCGCGGGGATTGGACAGGGACCTTGGGGGCGGTCCGCGTGTAGCAACTTTTGTCTAATAGCGAAAACATGTGTACGATTGAAGCGCAGGGATGGCGCGCGGTCTGGCGCTTTTCATATTTGCGGATTGAACAAAAACCCCCCGCGCAGATGTGAGAGCACGCTGGAGAGCCGACGGGGAGAGGAAATGAGGAGCATCTCGCTTTGCGGCTGCTGCATATACCATTACCAACCGAGATACGATATCAACACGTTTACCATCCATGCCCTGGCTAACAAGCGCCCGTCATCAAATCTTCGAGAGTCACCGTGTCCCCCGCGTGGCCTGCGGCGTACTCATCGCATGGTGGTCAACAAACGGGGACAGCCATTCAACCCCTGCCCCTCAGGAGGCGTCGCCCGCCCGTACATTGGGCGTCGGCGCTGAGACTCGCCACGTCACTGCGTCCCGGAATCACCCTCAAGCACCAGCCGCACCAGCTGCGCGCATCGCCCCTGACCTCGGGCCTGAGTATGCGGTTGCCGAAGCCCGTCTCGTCGACCCCCTCAGGCACGCAGGCCCCGACGCGCACCATGCGCACCAGCTTGCGCTTGACCCTGCCGCCGATGCCTTCAATCTCGTGCCGCTCGTACCCGGGTCCGAGCTGCGGAGACGGCGTCCGCTCGTTTTCGTGCCGGAGCCCGTCAAGGAGCAGAGGCCCCATGGGCATGGCGGTGACGGGCGACGTTGCTTGATCGGCGGCCGCACCAGAGGCTGTAGAGGTGGCAGACGCGGCTGAGACCAGAGAAGGACCCCCGGGCGTAGACCCAGGTTCGCCGTACCCCCGGGCGTCCTCGGCATCACAGTCCACTTCATGTTCAATGTCCTTCGCGGCAAGGCAGCTTGTTTCGCGGCCGCAGATGACACCCCGGTCGCCATCACCGATGCCCGTGCCCAGTCCGCCGAGAATCTCTCCATAGTGGCTACGCCAGTGCCAAATCCTAGACAATTTGAAGTGAAGTTGTATCAGTTGAATGAGTCCATCTCTCCCGGCCATGGTAAAGGCGAGGGAAGCATACTGCTGATATTCACTATCCATATTTCGAATGCCACGTCCGCACGGCTGACACAGCCAAACGCCTCTGGTGTGACAAGTGCAAATGATTCGCTCGACGGCCTCGGAGCTCATCGGCGTGCACGCGTCCAAGGGCGGGCTTAAGAAGGTGGCTAGGGAAGCGCGAGCACACGTCACGCACAATCGGCGATGTCTCTCTCGCAAAGCGACTGGCGCTGGCGGCTTGATGGCACAGTTCTGTATATAGAAACTCGCCCGGCTCCCCGTGTTAGCACCTATGGTTAGGTTGTCCCGCCAAACAGCAGATACGAAACGACGGTGGCGGCGCAGGGGACTGGACTTGCCCTGCAAATCACCTCGCTGCATCTCCGGCACTCGTGGACCATGTCGCGCGCGCAATAGCCCGACTTGCCGTCGAAGCTGCGCCCGTCTTCCATGTAGTGCCAGTTGCTGGCGCGGGCGCGGAATCGGAGCACTGCATTGCCGTTGACCGGGGCCGCTTCTCTGGAGCAGTGCAGGGTCGAGGTGAGAAGGATGGAGCGGTATTGAATGAGGCTGTCGTGAATGCCTCGACAGACACGAGCGAGCGCATCAAGGGTGTTGAGGTCGATGTGCGAGGCGACGGCGATGACAATGCTGGCGGAGGCGAGAGAATGGGCGTTAGTGATGCGGCGAGAAAGCTGGGAGCGGTGCAATGAAGGGAGATGCAGACGCACGGATAACAGCCAAGGGCCTCCGTCATGGCATTCTGGACACGGGACCTCGAGTCGGCGTGGCTGGAGGTGTTGCCGTCTTTGGACTCGTCGCGGTCACGAACGTGCATCGGCGCAGCTCTGTCGGCGGCGGACGTCGACGGCCACGCCACAGCGTCAGCCGCCTCGGGCTCCTCATCCAAGTCGACAAAGCGAGCCATGTTTGTTCCGCGTGGACGAGCAAGGCGTTGAGTTGGGGCTGGTGGGCCGCCGCTGGGCCTGGGCGGAAAGACGATCGGGATGAGTCGACGTCAGAGGATCGATGACGACGGGGGACAGGAGAAGCGAGGCATCAATGATGGAATCAATGATGGACAGGTGATACGGAGCTCGACGAGAGCATTGCTGGAAGACACGCCGCGTCCCCCATTGCACGTCGGGCGAGGGAGGCTGTTCCGGGCAGAGGGAAAATGGAGGCCAGGTGATGGAGGAAAGGCGCCCACGCCGCCCGCACGAACCGGCGGCGGTGGCGGAGGCGGACGGAGCCGATGTTGCCCCACTCGAAGCCCAGCAGCTGCCCCGCGTTGCCCGCCAACAGCTGGTGTCAGCGCGCTGGAGGAGCGGCTCCACACGCGGCCTTTACACTGATGGCCACCGCTTGTAGGTCCTTGGCCCTGTACGATGCACGAACTGTGAAGCTGGTTAAGTACCGCTACACCAGGCAAAATAGGGACACCCCCATTGGGAAGTGTTATTCATAACGCGTATCGACAATGGCCCTTCCAACACATATCATGCGTTGCGCCGAGTGCAAGAGCAGCAGCAGCAACTACCCTAGAGGCTTAATAGAGTGCTCTTTGCAGCCAGGCTTTCACGTCCTCATATAGACTCTTGTGTTCTCTCACACTTAAAGAGACCTTTGCCGGAGCATTTCTCTCCCCGCTAGCATTCGACGCGGGATGTCGCTTTGCCACCGCCTGTTCTGGAACCTCAGCGAGCCATCAATATTAACCGACTTACTCAGTCAGAGACGCGTTCGACAGGCGACAAGCACAAGACGCAAGCCATTTGTATCCTGCTCCTTCTCCACAGGCCGTCTTCACCTATAAGATGACCGGCCGTGGCAGATATCTGCTCCTAGCAAAGACAAAGGCGATTCCTGCCAAGGCCAAAGCCCCCCCTATGCTCACCATTACCATCCTCCCCGGCATTAAGCGACGCTTTCGCTTCGTCGCCGGCTGAGAAAGCGAACAGAGTCAGGGCCCCGGTCAACCAACAACAAAGGTATCGCAAGGGCCCAGGGTCTGGAAACTCACCTCGTACGTAAAATCGGCGTAAACCGGAAATAGGCACCGATACCAGAAGTGTAGCTGCGAAAACGGGTAGTTCATGGCGTTTCGCGCCTTGCTTCCCCTATTGTACCAGCTGCTGCACCCCGCTGACCACACCGTTCTTTGCAAATCCTCCTGTATTTGGTGGATGTAAAGCTCTTCAGCACCGCGATTCACGTCGACTGTTATAGCATCCCCGTCGATGATTGGCTTGATGATGCGCAGGGAGTAATTTATTGTGTTCTCCGAGGCCAAGAGAGCTGAAGTGGCTCCAGACCCTGTATTTGGACCTATTTGACGCATGTCAATTCCTGGCATATGCCCAAAACCCCCCTTTACCTGTCTTCTCACCGTCTTCTAATGCCTAGTTCGTACGCCTTCCACTTACCAAGGATCATGAAAAAATTGGGGAACCCGTTCAAACACGTCGTGTTGTATGCGCCAGGGCCGCCAAAAGCCTCCCAGTGCTCAGTTACAGTCTTGCCGTGCCGGCCGATGACATTGATGCCTGTCAGGAACTGATTCGTTTCGAACCCAGTCGCCAGGACTATCACATCGGCCTTGGTGAAACCGTTTCTGGAGCGTACACCATGTGGCAGTACCTCAAGAATGGGGTCGTCCGTTAACTCGACGTTGTCGGCATGCAGGCTCTCCATGTAGCCGGTATCGTCGAGGATTGTTCGCTTGCAGCCCAGCTCAAAGTCCGGCACCAGCAAATCGTGGTACTCGGCCGGCGCTGCAGACTTGATATAACACTTCGCCAACGAGGACGTGCTCCGGCGAAAGGCGGCCGCGGCCAGGGTCATGTAGATGGCTCGCATATCATTCTCCGTGGCCAAGAAGGCGAGGAATCGGAAGAGGTAAAAGAAGCCGGGTACATATCTGCAGAGGAACTGGACCAGCGAGGTAACCCGTGCCGACATTTTAAATCCGGGAAGGATCCAGTGCTTAGAGCGCATAAACTGAGTTACCCGCCTTGCCTGATCCCTGATGGCGGGCACAATTTGGGTGGCCGTGCAGCCGTTTCCCACGAGGACAACATTTTTGTTACACAGGTCGATATCGTGCCTCCAGCGCGACGCGTGAAATACGGGCCCGCGGAAGGACTCTATGCCAGGAAGATCAGGCTCGCGGGGGTAGACCAGCTGGCCGGCTGCGCTGAAGAGGAAATGACTCTCGTGGATGAGTATGTCGCCTGTTTCACCGTCGCATATTTGCATTCGCCAACGCCGCTTCTCCTCGATCCACTCGCACCGTTCGACAGCGGCGTTGAACCTCATTTTCTGAAGGAGACCGTACTCATCAGCTACCCTTGATATGTACTGGCATAACTCATCGTGCGGAGCAAGAAAATTCGACCAATGCGAGTTTGGAGAGAAAGAAAGGCAGTAAAGGGCGCTGGGCACGTCGCTGGCGCAACCTGGCCAAGTGAGTGAGCCTCAGCACCAACCGGCAGAGAGATACTGGCTTGCGGAATCACGCACCGGGATACTTATTCGCGAACCACACCCCTCCGACGTTTCCCTGACGCTCGAAAAAGCAGATATCTGTAATACCATACCATCGTTTGAGCGTGGCGCCCAGGGCGACGGCCGAAAAGCCACACCCGATGCAGGCGAACTGGCTATAGCTTGCTGCCTGGTGACTTTCCTGGCCCTGGCTCATGTTGGTGAATCTGCGTCTTTAGCTGCCCGTGGTAGGAATACGTGAACGGCCCGGCACGGACTGCCAGGAGTTGGAGAGTGCTTAATAGTTTAACCCATCATCCCCTAACCTTCTCGGCTGGAACCACCTCCGCACGAGAGACCCACAAGCACTCAATATTCATCGGCTGCCATGCCGATCCTCGATCAACGGGAGCAAAGTGGGCACCACGGATGTTGAGGGGAATGTTTCACTGCACGATGCTACATATGCTTAGCGGGCAGACTGAGCCGCCGAACAAGAGTTCGAGACTGCGGGGGAGCCAATGAACCATGTCCACGTAGTGATAATTGGGGATCTAGCGCTTTACGTCCAGCATCAAGCATGAGGAAAACGAGGATAATCGTCTGCGTGTATACGAGCGGTGTGTGCCGAAAAGATCCCCACAGGGACCCGCGAGCTTTGCCGCAAAGGGAGCCATAAATATTAAGCGTCATCTATATGTATAATGCTTACAACATTCGGGGAAGCAACTGCCGAAGAGGTCCACGACCAAGAAGCGTTCTATCGCCTAAGTCTTCAACCTTGATGCCAATTGCGGAAAAGAGCAAGCCTTAATCAACGCGATAGAAGCCCGTCGATTTCGATGTTTCCACGGATACCTCAACCAGTCGATTGGCCTAACTTAGGCCCACATGACTTAAGTACCACTCGGTCGAAGCTCTTTAAAGAATACTATCAATATAAGGGAATTAAGGACAGCCCTAGGCAGATTCGCCTTGCATTTGTCTATGAAATTACAACTTTTATCTATCCAAGGAAATACAATTGCAAAAGATACTTCTCGGGCTCCCTGAGCTGTAGCAATCCCATACTGGTGAGAGCATTACGTTGCAGGTGGCAGAAGCTATTACCTTATTTAAGATACAGGATAATATCAGCTACTTTACGTTGAAAATTCAGAGAATAACAACATAGCAGTCGCGGCATTAAGGGACCTCTTTTGTTTCAAAGAGAAGCAAAGGGGAGTCTGCTGCTTTAGACATATCGTCAATCTCATAGCCAAAGCGCTACGGCGAAAGAAATGACTAACTGGCAAGCTTTATAACCTTGTCCATTGGATTTATTAGACCAACAGGTTGATGTACCCGCTTTAGAATTTACGAGATAAGATAAAGAAACTGGTCGATCTTATGAGTGACGATATGGCGCGTCGGTTGTCCTACCACGAAATGATGGACCAAGCTCTCCTTTGCGAGTATCTCAGGGGGGATAAGCAAAGCAAGCATAAAGGCCAGGGACTGGAAGCCTCTTGATTTAGCTATCTAGAGTAGAAAGAAGGCAAGATCGTTATAGAGCGATAAGGATGCTTGCTACAAGGTTCTGCGGGGAGCTGCGTGCATGGAATGTGCGAATAGGGTATCCAGACTGTCGTAGACTGATATTCCCTGAGTGACAAGTCCAAACCGCGTCCAAACCGCGGTTTGGACCAACAGTCCTCTTGATAGTCTGCATTGCTAGGAGAGCTGTATGAAGTAGCCAAGCATGTATGCGATCAAACCCAAGCGGAACGACCTCATCCTGGCGACTACATGTCTAAAGCTGTATGCGGTGCAAGCTTGTCTTACGGTTGTAGGGGGTTGAGTACCTACCTGACCTGGGCAGCATCTACGCCTATTCTACGCCTCAGAAAATTGCTGCTCTCTTTGTGAGACTAGAAGTCTGCTCAACTCGAAGTATGCCGGCGCCTGTCGTCTAAGATTGGGCAACGCACTTCTGTGCTGTATTCTTTGGTCGTCTACGAAGGCTCACCGTGTCCATGGGATCAAGATTGGTGGTGAATGTCCCACAAGGGTCCCGCGAAAAAGGTACTCATCAGTTCCTAGAGATTTACCTGGACCATGGGCAAACCGAAGCCTGCACGCCAACTCATGCGCGCGATGCAATGTGCTATCAGCTGCCGTTGGCCATCGCCTTATGTAACTGTAACCCGGCTTCCCGCTATAGGTCTACAGGTCGAGCGATCACCAGATATCCACGGCGACGAATCGGGGCCTACTGTCCACGAGGTAAGCCATGGGAAAGCGAATAGGAAGTAGGTTCGTCTTTTGTCCCCGCATAATTCATTAATCGCCGGGCCTGGCGAGCCAATGATGGCGACAGTAATAAGGAGGAATGGCGCCACCTCCCGGTCGTAGGACGAACACAGCATCAAGCACCGGGCGTCTTATTAACCTTGACCCATTCAGATCAAGACACATAATCTGGAGGCAACCATCTACCTCTCCGGCCTCATTTAGGCCTGTCCGGTCGGGCCGGAAAGAGGAGCGTATTTCCCCGTGCCGCTGTGGAAGATTTTGTCTTGTGATTGGATCACTCTGTTGCAGCCTACAGTACTTTGCTGTCCCTTGGGAGGTGCGAAGACTGCCTCTCGCAGGGATCTCAGTCACTTCCGGAATACCATCAGCGATACATTCGTAGCCCCCGGGTTGATGAAGTACTCCGATTTCTGCGGGCGGCATGTCTCGGCACATGTGAGCACTCAGACAACAGCCCGGCAATACCCGGGAGTGGTGTCAGTTGGCCACTTATACCCAGTTGAACCCTGGAATCAAAAGAGGCCCGGCCCGTCCGGACAAGAGACTGGCTTAGACGAACAACTGATCAGTACGTCCTTGCCCCCCGAGGCCATCAATAGTTACACCATTGTCGGTGAGACAAAGGCACTGATTGAGATAGGATCGCCCTGGATACGTGCACCTATCGCCGCTGAATCACATTGATAGACGCCTTGACTTGCAGGACTGCCGGCCGCGGCGGGTGACGGTCTTGATCGGCGATGATGACGGCGTTCGTCGGCATCCATTGAATCGCCACTGCCAGCCAGAGACATTTGGTGTAACAACCATTCGAAGGCTACATTTACCCTCGTGCTGCCTTCCGCCATCCTTCGGCAACGGAAAACTGCCCACATTCAACTTGGGATCTTTTCTCTGCTCTCTTCTTCTTTTCGTCTTGTTCGCAAAAGCTTTTGCCGGGGCGTGTTTCTACACACATCTGCTGCGAGTCTTGAACGCCCAACTCGGGTGTCTGCCCGCCCACTGACAGATTCGCGGTAAAAAAGTTGGGCAGAATGCATCAATCGTGGCTGCCCCTGTCTCTGCTCCTTTGGGCGGAGGTGTCCTCGTGTCTGAGAAGCCCCCACATCGAGGACTCCCCCTGCCTGCTGGAGGGCCAGCATCACAAAGACGAGCTTGATCTGGGGGCCCGGGACAAGCAGGCTGTACTGTCGCCGAGCGAGGTCACGACCGCTGCAAGCGATGCGAAGGTGAACTTGAAGAGCGGCCAAGACTACACCGTCTTCTATCCCCAACAGGAGCAAGCCATCTGGCCCGTGGTGCGGAACAAGGGACCCGACAAGGCGGCCAAGCTTATCCTGGAATCACCCGACTTGGGCCCGCTGGGAATATCCATCGCCTCGATCTATGCCTCTTGCCCCGGGACGCGTCCGGGATCTCCGAAGATCCGTTGCGAATGGGACAACACGAAGGCCGACTTCTCCAAGTGGTCCAAGATCACCCTCAAGTTCACAGGCAAAGTGTCACGGCACCAACCTGGGTTCCGTCACGTGCATCCCTGTACTTAGTCTAGACTCTGTTCCACCTCCGTAGTTTGCCCTCCTCACAGCACAACATAGATCTTCCCTGGCATCCTAGGTCTGCCCCGTGATAGTTTGTGCTGTCTACTATCGGCTGCGCCGCCATCCCGATTGTACACCTAACCAGAGTTTTCCCATTCGACACCCCAAGTCCCACGCAACGAGATCACCACGCCGCGAGCGGCCCAGCCCTACCCTCGATCACTGGAATTTTTCCCCGCCCTGCCAAGACCATGATGAATCCCCAGAACCAGGCGGGCGCAACCCTCGCCGACGCTATTCATGATACCTTCCCAAACATCGCAGCTGCCCTTCACCGGGTCCAAGCTTGTGACTGCTCCAGCCTCGCCTCTATGCTCCAAGACCCAACAGACGACATGTACAAGAACCAGGTCGAAGCTCTCTGCCGCGCGGCCGAGAGCGCAATGGACCACTTCATCAACCAAAACGCCAATCTAGAGACGAATCGCGGAATTAGAAACACACCTCGCCCAAGCCCAAGGAACACCCCGGACCCAAGACTCCCTTGTCACCCTCGCCGATGAACTAAGAACTCTGCTGAGCGCCAGACCAACAGAATTGCGCCCTGAGTCACGCCCCCGTCGAATGATGCCAAACCCCAACCCATTTGAAGGCGATGAGAAGGATGTTAAGAAACGCCAACAGCAATATGTCAACTGGCGCTCTCAAGTGCTCGAACTTTTGCTGTGGATAAGAGTTTCTTTGTCACCGATTTTATCAGAATCCAACACATCGCTGGCCTGCTTGGAGGATCGGCCTCGAAGCTCTACCGCAAGAAATTCGATTTCATTATTGAACATGAGGAAAACCAAGCCATATGGCCATGGCAAACCCATACCGACTGCCTGGCGGAGATGAACAAACAGTATGAAACGCTTGATCTGACACTTTCGGCTTCACAAGCCTTTGATAACCTTTGGATGGGCAAGAAACCCTTCCAAAACTTCATCGCTGACTTTGCCGCCCTGGCCGAGGTGTGGAAAGACTGAGACCCAGAAAGTTGAGTCCTTGCAGCTCAAGGTCTCTCAGGAACTCGCCAACGAAATGACGCACCAGCTTGTCCGCCCTGCTAGAGACAACTTCTCTGAGTGGTGTAAAATGTACCAGACGATCTACGATAACCTGTTGGCCAAGGACCACCAGGACAAACTGCGCTCAGGACGTCTAGGTAGTCGACCCTACCAAGGCCAAACACACCAGCAATTCCAACAACGCCAACAGGCTGACGCTGGCGACCCGATGGTTTTGGACGCTACGCGCCAAGCTAGACCTACGAGGGAGGACTGCTTTACTAATAACCTCTGTTTGTACTGCAAAAAGCCCGGCCACTTTAAAAGCGATTGTGATGAAAAGAAGCAGGCCGACGCAAAACGCAACCAGGCCTTTGGAACATATAAACCTAGCTATGGGTACAGTAGAGGAATGGGACGCGGCCAACCTGGACAAAACCACCGCCCCTACAATTACCAAGCCAGCCAACAACACAACCCACCCGTTTCCCAGCCCCAATTCCCTGCGTATCCCCCAGCCTTTCCAAGACTGCGATCCCTCGAACAAGGCTATATTATAGCAGACGAGGAAACAAGGACTACACCAACCCCCACTCCCTCTGTCAACACCCCAGCCTCACTTGAGCACCGGGGAAAAGAATAACCTCCGCCCAGAGCCGCGGACGGAGGTCAACGAAGGAACCAAGGATGCCGGAATGGATACGTCGCTGTCTCTCGAGCCACAAACCTATCAGACTTAGGTCAATAGACAGCAAATCTCTACTCATTCAAGCTACCTTAGTCCCCGCGCATACCGACCCCATTGAGGTGACGAGCCTTATTGATAGCGGATGCTCTGCACGGGCATTTGCGGACCGTAGCTTTGTCAAGACCCGGAATATCGTAACCCAACCAACGCCAACAAAACGAGCCCTCCTCCTCGCCGACGGGAAACCGGCTGGCTCAATATCGGAATACTTCATTGCACCAATATTGATAGGATTGCACAATGAGCTCTGCCTATTCTTTGTTACAGACCTCTCCCCGGACACCCCTATCATCCTTGGACTCCCCTGGCTGCAACGCCACAACCCAAGCATCGACTGGTCCAGTATGTCCCTGACATTCACATCCCCATACTGTCACAACTTTTGTTGCCCCCAAGGAGTTCAGAACGCATCTGCACCGGTGCTGCCCGACCCGCCCGGCAACTACCACGACCTACCAATCCCGGGTGAACCAGCCCGACGAGTCTCGTTCGACCTACCAACCCCTGGCAAACCAGTCCGACGAGCCTTGTCCTACCAGCCTCCAATTGTCGAAGATTCAGAGGACGACCATAGCAACTGCTCCAGCACTCTCACATCAGTCCTCAACGGTCGACGACTCAGAGGACGATACTAGCAACTGCTCAAACACTAGCGAAGATGCCCCCGTCATGACATTTGAAGCAACGCCAATATCTAGCAAGCCAGCGCGACGAGTCTCATTCTATCAGCCTCCAACAGTCGAAGACTTAGAGAATGATAGTAACGACTGTTCCAACGCTGGCGAAGATGCTCCGGTTATGACATTTAAAGCAACGCTGACCCCAGGCGCAAATCACTACCGTACCCAACCCGAAGAATCACCAAGGCCCCGAGTGCCGAGCCCAGATGATCCCCAATCAGCCGAGAACTAAACCAGCCCCGACTCGTATGACTGCTGGCAGCCGTCATACAAAGCCACCACCAAGACCTCCGCTACCTCCACTCAGCGTGCCACTTCCAAACCCATCTCGCGACACCGCCCTAGAACCATCAGACCGACCAGACCTATCGAACATACGGCTTACAAACGCTACAAACTTCGTCCAATTCTGCCGCGACCCAACCGTTGAGGCGATGAAAATGACATGGGATGAGCTTGATCGACTGGATAGTAGTCGCCAGCAGATGAAATACCGCCTACCTGACCTCCCAGAGGAATATTATAAAATGGTAGTCCTTGGTATAAGCAGCAAAAACATGGACTTCAGCTGGAAGGAAGCAAGACAGCTCTTTCCTAATGAATTGCACGACTTTGTTGACGAATGCTACTCACCAGCCCGCCTAGCCAAGATCACAGATGCCGATATCGAAAAGTTCATGAAAGGCAAGCCGGAGCGAACAGCGGATGACGTCTTGAAGAAGCTCCCGATATGGCTCCGCGACCTCTACGATGTGTTCCTACCTAAGCTCGCAGACAAACTTCCCCCGCAGCGCTCATGGGACCATAAGATAGAGCTTCTGACTGGAAAAGAACCTCCGTACCAAAAGACACGCCCAATGAACCCACAGGAACTCAAAGTCATACGGAAATGGCTGGATGATAACCTGTCTAAAGGGTTCATACGGGAGTCCCGAGCCCGCTGTGCAGCACCACTACTCCTTGCCGCGAAGCCAGGAGGTGGTGTCCGGATCTGCCAGGACTACCGCGGTCTTAACAACATCACCATAAAGAACCGCTACCCACTGCCTTTGATCCGTGAGACTCTAGATGCCCTATGCAACGCCAAAGTCTATACGAAACTAGACATTATCGCCGCATTTAACAAAATCCGCATCGCCGAGGAGATATATGGAAAACAGCCTTTATCACACGGTTTGGCTTGTTTGAAACATTGGTTATGCCGTTCGGCCTCTGCAACGCCCCAGCAACCTTCCAGAACTACATCAACCATACCTTATTCGACCTTCTGGATAAGTTCTGCACCGCCTACCTTGACGATATCTTGATATATTCAACAGATAAGAAGCAACATAGGAACACGTCCGCGAGGTAGTCACACGACTTCGCGATGCAGGCCTCAGATTGATATCGACAAATGCGAATTCGAAACAACTAGGACGAAATACCTTGGGCTGATCGTTACGCCTGGAGGTGTCGAGATGGACCCCGACAAGGTCTCTACAATCCTCAACTGGAAGCCACCAACAGCACTCCGCGACTTACAAAGATTCCTCGGCTTTGCAAACTTTTATCGCCGCTTTATCCGTGACTTCTCCAAGATCACCCGGCCATTAAATGACCTCCTGAAGAAGAGCACAATCTGGTCCTGGGAGGTAGAACACCAAACCGCCTTTGACCGACTGAAAGCCGCATTCTCCGTAGCACCGGTTCTAGCCTTATATGACTATAATAGGAAAACTGTACTTGAAACAGACGCCTCGGACTGGGCGTCTGGAGGAGTCTTGTCCCAGTATGATGATGAAGGCGTACTGCGACCTGTAGCCTACTTCTCGTCAAAACACTCGGCCCAGGAATGCAACTACGAGATCTACGACAAGGAACTACTGGCGATCATTAAGGCTCTGGAAGAATGGAGGCCTGAGCTTCAAGGGACCCAAGAACCCTTCGAAGTCATCACGGACCATAAGAACCTTGAATATTTCACAACAACCAAGGCTCTAAACCAACGACAAGTCCGCTGGTCCGAGTTCCTGTCAGGCTTCAACTTCCGTATTGTTTATCGACCAGGCACCAAAGCCGTCCGTCCAGATGCGCTAAGTCGAAAGCCAGAAGACCAACCCAAGCGCGCAGACACAAACGACGACCGCATTAAGAACCGCCAACGGACCATTCTGCCAGAACACATCTTTGACCCAGAGGCCCTGGCTGAACTGACTCGAGAAGTCAATGGGAATTCGACCTCGCTGCCGCCCCGATAGACGTTATCATGCCAGCCATGGACAAACCCATCGATGAACTGGTCGATAGAGCCTACGAAAATTCAGAGATGGCCCAAGACATGCTGACGGCCCTGAGAGACGCATCAACCCACCGCCGCTGGCCCAAGAAATGGCGAAAGGAACTTCGCGTAGCAATGGCAGACTGCTCTGTCATTGGGAATCGCATATACTACCGCGAGAAGCTCTTCATACCACCCAACGATCAGGAACTAAAGACCCAGGTTATTTACCGTACGCACTCCACAGGCCCTGCAGGACACCCCGGGCGGATAAAGACAATCGATTTGGTTAGCCGAACTTACTGGTGGCCACGCATAACCCGAGACATCGAGGAATATGTTAAAGCCTGCGAGCTGTGTGATCGGGTCAAAGCCTCAAGGTCGGCACCCCCAGGATTCCTCCAACCACTGCAAGTGCCATTCCAAGCTTGGTCAGATATATCCATTGACTACATCACGCCCCTGCCAGAATGCGAGCGCCATGGCAAAACATACCAGCATGTCCTCGTTGTTGTGTGCCGATTGACAAAGATGCGCCATTTCATCCCAGTTGTAGGCCTAACAGCCGAAGAACTAGCCTCTGTCTTTATCAGCCGAGTCTATTGCCTCCATGGCACACCCGACAATGTCATCTCCGACCGCGGTTCCCAATTCATCTCCGAGTTCTGGCGCCAAGTCTCCGACCGCCTAGGAGTTCGACTCCGCCATTCTTCCGCCTTCCACCCAGAGACAGACGGACAAACGGAACGGATCAACGCAGGCATCGAACAATATCTGAGAGCATTCATGAACTTCCACCAAGACGACTGGGTCGACTGGCTCCCTCTTGCCGAGTTCGCCACGAACAACGTTACATCTGAGACCACGGGAGTATCACCATTCTTCGCTAACTATGGGTTTCACCCCAAACTCGGCACTGAACCAACCAAGCCACTGCCGCCAAACCAGTCCGCAGCCCAACGACGAGAGTTCCTCAAAGCAAACAACATCGCCGACCGCTTTGAGCGTATTATCACTCAGCTGAAAGCCCTTGCAACCCAAGCCGCCAGACGCTACGAGGAGAACGCCAACCTCAATCGAGAAGATGCTCCTCAGTACGCCGAAGGTCAAGAAGTCTACGTAAGCACGAAGAATATGAAGACAAACCGGCCGATGAAGAAAGGAGACGACAAGTGGGCAGGACCATTCCCAATTCTGAAAGTCTACCTCGTTCATGCTTGCTTAAACTCCCGAGGAATGAAGATCTTTCCCGTGTTCCACAACTCGCTCCTACGACCGAAACCAGAAGCAAATGGTCTACCCGGCCAAGACGTTATCAACGAGGCCGAGTCAAAAAACATCCGAGGACGAGTCCTAGAACGCGATGACGAGACAGGAGAACTAGTCGAAAAATGGCTATTTGACGGGCTACTAAATAGCCGCAGAGACGTTGATGGCCTACATTACCTAGTCAAGTGGAAACACTATGACCCTACCTGGCAACCGGCTAGAGACCTCAAAGGACATAACCAAGTACTCCTCGACTTTCATAGAGTTCACCCAAACAAGCCAGGCCCCCGGTCTGGGCAAGAAGTAAAGGGCACAACTATATACTTTGTGCCCAGGCCGCTCTTAGTCGTTTAGGCTGTTCGAGGACGAACAGCCGTTTGGGAAAGGGTACTGTCACGGCACCAACCTGGGTTCCGTCACGTGCATCCCTGTACTTAGTCTAGACTCTGTTCCACCTCCGTAGTTTGCCCTCCTCACAGCACAACATAGATCTTCCCTGGCATCCTAGGTCTGCCCCGTGATACAAAGCCAGTCGCGGAAAAGTCGAGTTCCCCCTCAAGCTGACGTCGTACGTCCAGGACTCAGCTACCGGCAAGCTCAAGGAATCGGATCACCAGAAATGGCAGCATCAGTGGGAGACGCGTGCCGCAGAGACGTATAAGCAATCCGATCCGTCCGTCTTTCCTCAGCCGCGCACCATAACTGTGACTGCTGTCCCCGGGGCCGAGGACGAGCGGCAGCGGCTGAAGCAGCAGTTCAAATGGGCCGACTTTCAGCCCACGGGCTTCTACTTGAACCCAAACGCCCCACTGACCGTCTCCGTCTCCGGCGTAAGCGGGGCCGGCCGGAAGCCCGAGATTCTTGTGGGGACCCCGGCCTTGGTCAATCCGACGCACCTGAAGGAAGTATTGCCCACAGGGCTGGACTCCTCCGGACCGCTGGGCAACGGTAACCATCAGGTTTCCCACCCGCTTGGCGGCATCATGTATATCCGCTACACCCACGCTGCCGGCCAGAGCGTACCGCGCGTCACCGTCACCTTGGCCCAGGGGGACGCGGCCCAGCCGTTTCCGCTATACCGCCAAGGCGTGACGACCTTGTCGCTGTGGAAGAAGCTGCTGAGCGTCACCAAGGTGCCTTTCGCCGAGCACACCGGCAAGCGCGTCATCATGACCGGACTGGCGGCACACGCCAAGATTTATGCCGATAAAGGGCTGGATCAGGATGTGCTATTAGATACGTACGGGAGCATTATCACCGCCCAGGACGACATCAGCGCTCTCACCTCCAGCGCCCCCAGCCCTAGAGATAGACCGAGCTCACTGCGTCCTATAGTCGTGCAGACCAGGACGGACGCCAACCCAAACTCGTCCAACTTCCGCGCTGCTGTTCCCGCCGGCAACCACAAATATATGTACTGGCAGAATGTTACACGCCAGTCTTGGATGATCTGGCACGAGCTCGGGCACCATCGCCAACATAGCTATACGTGGAGCTGGCGCGACATGACAGAGGATACCGTGAATATCTACAGTCTCGCTGCCCGCCGCCTCGTCCCCGAGATTCCTAGCAAGGTTATTACGCACGGCACCATCAAAGAGTGGGAATATGCCAAGAAATATCTCGCCCAAGACCCCAGCATGAAGGTTTTTGAGTCGGCCGGCCATTTCGTTCGCCTTGTTTTGTTTGAACAGCTCCGTGTCGTGTTCGGCGACGCCTTCTACCATCAACTTCACAAAAACTCGCGGGCGGGAGAAAACAAGAAGAGCGATGCCGATAAGAAGCACTACTTTATGACCCAAGCGGCGCAGCTTGCGGAGGAAAACCTGACTGACTACTTTACGAAATGGGGGCTTAAGCCTGAGCGCCGCACCATCGACGAGATGGAGAAACAGCCCGACCCGGTTGAAGACTATACAAAACGACCCGTCTACGGAGGTGAGAAGGATGAAGCGAGGCACTTGGAACTTCGGGGGGTTTAAGTGGCTCGAAGCCTGCAAAGACTACCAGCATCTGGGGTTGGCATCAAATTGTTACAATCTTGTCCAAAGATGAGTTCCGCGTTAAGGGGGAAGAGGTGACATAAGGGAAGATTCCGAGATTGCGAAGGAGAGGTCCAAATGGCTGGGGATTGTTAATTTGCTAAGATGGCTTCGTCATTTCATTTCAGCCCAGTTTCCGTATTTCTCCCCTGACTCTCGTTTATCTTGTGAAGCGATACATACAGACTTTGCATGAAGTATGAAGCACATAGGCCATGGCTATTTACTTGACTAAGAGTAGCGATGCCAAGCAGCTTCTGGACGAGCTTATTTTGACCTCGCAAACCAAGTGCACTCAGCCAGCTGATACCGAACCGCGGATGGAGTATAATGGCTACGGCAAACAGTGGGGAGTCGCTGAGCTTGGTGAGGTATTCATCCAGCCTCTTCCAGGCATTGTTGATTGATGCCCGGATATGCGCTCGATGATTGTCCTGCAGATTGCTTTTCTTTGAAACCTCAGTTGCCGACGCATCCCCACTTGGGAGCCTCTCTGCTTGCGGACACCATGGCGGGGCGACTTTTATGGACCTTGACTTAGGACAGCTCACCGGAAGGAAGCGTCGGTCGTTGCATGGAGTTCTCCACGAAAGTTTAAGCTCGGCCAACCGTTGGCGGGTTCCTGTCTCGGCCGGTGACGGCTTTTGATTTGGCTCCATGGTTCCAGTTAGAGCCCACCACGTTCGCAATAGGGACACGCAGTTCAAGGATACGTGAATGATGTTGTTGAGGAGAGTGGGCATAAGAAGCCACAGTCATGCCCAGTGGACCTAATAGTCATGCACAAGGAAGCCTGCCTGACCAACATGACTCCCCTAGCCTAAGGACATTATATAGGCCTAACTTAGGTATAGGAATATCCCAATGCCCTCTTTTGGCTAGCTATATATGGTCACTGTACCTATATAAGCCCCTCCCTTGTCCCAATAGATAGACCAAGACATACATCACTAAATTCACCTTTCTGTGCCCCTATTTCTTCTACTATGCTCTTAAGCCACTGCTTGAGAGTTATGAGCCCGGCCTGCACGGCTAGATCATCTTTTGCCCGCCGATATCACCTTTAAAGCTATTTACGAGCTATTAACGCCGTTATAACGCTTAAATCGTAGTATTAAGGCAAGGAACCTAGCTATACTAAGGGGCACTACTAGAAATATACGAATTATATAAATTATAATTACGTATCCCTTAAAGAAGGATATTACTTATTAAGCTAGAACCCCTTATTTTCCTAAGATAACGTTAAAGGAAGTAAGAGGGGATAATTATATCGTAAGACTAAAGGAAAACCTCGATTGGACCCTATAGATTAGGGGGATTAAATCGTAGGCCTAGACTTATAAGATTTAGGAATATGCTAACCTAGACGGCATAAAGGAGCTTAAATAACCCTAATAGCCGGACTAGGAGCAATTTATTATTAACCTTAGAGGGAGACCTTCCTAACGAGAAGAAGAAACTAAGGCTATGTTCTTAGCGAGGCGAATAGGCTATAATAAACGATACTAGGATATAAAGGACTCCTTTCGTAACCTTAAGAAAAGGTTCTAGCTATAATTCGATCGCTATAAGGTCTAGTAGAAAGCCCTAATTATACTTAAAGAATTAATTAAGAAAACGATTAGTAAAGGGCTTTAGGGGATAACCCTAATATATAATAGCCTAAGAGAGAAAATTAGGGAATTAAAGAAGCAAGCCCTACTTTTAGGGGTAGAGGAGAAAAAGCTAATTTACGAGAGATATATAACCTCTATTAATAAAAGAGGCACGCAAGACTAGAAAGCATAGGCAAAATAGCTCGACTAAATTATTATAGATTTATAAGACCTTAAGGTTAATATACTTAACGATATAAGAATTAGATAGGATTTTCTTATAGTAGTAGATAAGTAGGACCTATATTAGTCTATAATAATAAGGGCTCTCGACCTCTATAACGAAAGACACGGTAAAGATTAACTTCCCTTAAGGAACCTAATCGCTAACTTTAAATAAGAATATACCTATAGGAAGAAGTCGTAACTACCTATAAAAAGGGGAAGCGCTAATTAAATCTCTAGGAAATTAGATACCTAAGCTAAATACGCTAGCTATAAGTAGCACGTTAATAGCTTAATAAGCTAGTAGGAAAATTGCTACTTACTATAGGTAATATATAATAAGAAGCCCCTATTAGGCTAGAAATATAGTAATCTAGCTAAATAGAATATCGAAAAACGGCTAAAGGACTATCTAGATAAGAAAGCAAAATATATAGCCTAGACCCTTAATTCCTACCCTAAAGGAAGAGAACTAGCAGATACTATTATTAGTAATAACGGGCTAGGAAAGACTATTAACACGGTTACTCTATCTAGGGTAAATACGGCTATTAAGGGAACGCCGTTACTTACCGATAAATTAATATACGACTTAAGGGCCGATATTAACCTCTTTAATAACCTAGGTTAGTTTTAGGAAGGAACCTTTAAGTAGGGTTCTAACGATAAAGTCTAGGTTAGAGACTAAGCTTTTAGGGTATAAGGAATAGGAATAGTAGTTATCCCTATAATTAACGGTAGAAAGATAACCTTACTAGATGCCTACTTTATCCTAGAAATACCGATAAGTATCTTCTTAGCTAGGCTAAGGATAATAGCAGGGATATTCTAGAACCAGCTCCTAGGATACCTTTATTCGGAACCTATAAAGGAGGTTCGTATTAAACTAACCGACTTCGAAGGTTAATTCGTAATAGGAATACTCCTATAGCGTAAGCGGGTATTCGCAGTTATATAAGCGCCTAAGCTACTAACTAGGGGGGTAGGTAACCTATAGCATCGCCGCCTTAAGCATCTTAGTCTAAGATTACTAGAGAAGCTATTAGAAGCCTGCCTAGGCACTAAGCTTTAAGGCCCTATAATATATAGCTATTAGATATACGTAATAGGGAAAGCTAAGAGGGAAGTCTCGAGAAAAACACTATCCTTAAGGCCTAAAAGTCCGGGGGTATAAGTTAGCTTCGACCTTTACCCTAGCCCTATAATAGTATATAACGGGGAAAAGAACTTCGCCCTATTTACCTATATAGATATATCTATAAGGTTCTATTACCTAATAGAAAGAAAAACGGGTATTAAGGATATCTTTAATAACTTCGTAGCGTTACTTAAGACTTAGTATAGAATTAAAATAACTATATTAGTTACTAATAGGGAAAGGGCTCTTTTAATAATAGAATAAATAGATTATATAACTAATAAAGGGATATAAGTTATATAGTTAGCCCCTTTAACGCCTACGTAAAACGGTTATATAAAGAGATTAAGGGCAATAGTAAAGGAAAAAGTAAGGGTTATAAGGCTTAACTTAAAGCTTCTAGAAGAGCTATAGCTAGAGATATACCGTATAGCGGTATACCTACTTAATATAATACCCTTCGAATTATATAATTATAGCTAGTAGAGCCTATATAAGCGTTAGTAGACCTAGATAAAAGAAAATAATCTACTATATTACTATATTAAAGATATTAAACTAGACATTATATATTTAAGGGTCTTTAGCTATATAGCATTCTTAATAATAATTACGGTATTAGAATATATTAAGTTATATAAGACGTAATTACCCCTTAAGTAGAGAGCTTATATCGGCTACCTAGTAGGCTATAGGTCTACTTAATAATACGTTATATAGATACCGTTAATTAGATAGAATAAACTAATAGTATTAGCTAATATATAGTTTAATAAGTCTATAAGCTACGATATAAAAAGAGAAGAGTAAGCCTAGCTAGTCTAAATATATAGCTATAATATCCTTAGAGATATAGCCGTAACTAACGTTATAGATAGCAGGGAACCTAAAACCTTTAGGGTACTAAGTTTATCCGACGATAATACGGTTAACGGTTAGACGCCGGAAAAAGCAATTACCCTCTTATAGGACCTATTGCCCCTATATACTCCGGAAGATTAGGGATTAAAGACGCCCTTATAGGGATTATATAGATATATATATCTTTCCCCTCCGGAAATAGTAGGCCTAGGGATAGAGATTTTAATATTACCCCTTCTACCTAATACTATATTTAACACGAAGTTACTAAGCTCTATACCTCCTACGCCCGTAATAGATACTATAGCTAGCAACCCCTCCTATATCTCGTTAGGGAGATAGCTTAAAGATACGATACCTATATTAATCGACTCGTCTCCTTAAGATAAACGCAATAATATACCTCTTAACCTAGGGGGTAAAGGAACGATTATAGTATAGGTTTAAGAAGATAACCCCTAGTCTATAAGGAACGGTGTTCCTACTATAAATAAAGCAGCTATAATATACTCTCCCGATTAAATAAGCTAATAAGTAGTATATTAATTATAGACAAAATCTTATCCTATAGAGCAAGAATCGCTCGTTATTTTGCATGTTATTATGCATTAAACGGGTTGCCGGTTATCGTACAATCGGGAATCGAAGGAACAGAGCTAGCTTAGAATGCTAGCTAAGACCTCTTAAGAACACCGGCACGACCAACCTCCTTTAAACACGAATATCAGGGGAACTAAGACACTTCTAGAGTTACTTAAAGTATCACGGAATTCCCTAGTCTTAGGGCTATACGGCAGCCTAAATCAGGTCCCGAAAGGTTCTTCCGTTCAGCTACAATTGTCTATATAAGATAGCATATCCGCTAGTAGATAGATAGAAAATCATTAACTTTAACACCTCTTCCACACACCAATACACTACCAATAAATTCCGTTGAAAATCCTACCTTATACTCCTTCTTCCCCTCTATCACGTAGTCTTACGTGATTCCTTGATTTCCCAAAATTCCGCTTTTGCTCATATACCTTTAGAGGTTATGAGCCCGGCTTCTCCTTTTAAGCCGGAAATCAACTACTTATACCTTTGAAATTCCTCGTCGAAATATTCAATTAAAATTC